TGCTTACATGTTTATTAATCTAGAACACACACACCTAGACTTCGCCAGGTGGCCAAATCCGTCTTTCGCAGAGGCTAATGCTCGTTAATGTAGCCAGCAGCCAGCAGCAGGGCCGCCTCTGTACTCCTGACCCGCTTCACTGTCAGTGACGCAAATAGGGTTGAGACACATATGGCAGGTTCACAATCAGCTGGTCACCTACAATGACTCTGTTACTAATCAGGCATCGAGTGAAGGAGTGGGCCGGACTTTTCTATGACCTTACCCAGCATGGCCCAGTGGAGAGTAAGGAAAGTCCACTCCAAGGTTATAATAGTTTGGTTTCATTAGTTTTAATCTTAATTTCGTTTTTTACATTTTTAATTGGATATCAGTTAGAGCTGGGGATTGTCAAGAACTTCACAATTCAATTAGATTTCAATGGGTCACAATTCAATGATCGAGGCCCCCTCCCCTCAAGACTGCACTGACCCGTCCACATTCAAGACCAAGACATTTGGGGATCGAGACAAAACATCAACAAAAACATCGATATAACTAAACCCACCGTCAGTCTGGCCCTTTTCGACAAATTCAGAATTTATCTCAAACTAGAAAATAAATAGCTGCTTCAGTGTGACAACAAATTGACAAAAGGCTTTTACAAAGGAAGCAATTAAAAGTGATACTGCAAAATAAACCATCTGTCATAACCACAGGTCCCAATTTAGGAATCTTGTATTGCCATGTGGTGGTCACTGAAGCTTCAGTGTTTATCCAGCTCTGCATCGGTCTGTAAACCTTTCTGTGTTCTAACCTCTCTCCATTTTTCAAAAGCATCTCCAATATTGATCCTAGTTTGAGCACGTTTCTGTTCGTGGAGCTTATTAGAAACATGCAGAGGCTTTTTAGGTCGGGTACAATCACTTCTATCTGAACCACTTCTCTTGCCCGCTTCCATCACTACAACACCTGTTGGTTTGACCTGATAACTGCTCTCATATCTGACAAACTGAGGGACGTCCAAAACGGCCGTGTGGGGGTCTCTTAAAACCGCCTACCTTCTCTGGTCCAAACAAATCCAGAGCATTCAGGACCAGAATCTAAAGTTAGAAGGAGGACATACTGGCTGCTGCATTGTTGTCAGAGAAGCCAGCACTTCAACATAGCATGTTCCCTTCATGTCTGATCATATAGTAAGGTAAGGCATTCAATTCTGTAGATATCTTCCATATTGGACCTTTAATAAATTCATTAGAGTTGCAGTCCCAGTGTTCCCAGTAAGCAGTCCAACATGAGGCTGACAGCGAGCACCGCCCCTCTCTGTTCTCCATGCCTGCTTTGTGATGGTGTGAAGGCTGCCAACTTAAATACGCGCTCACAGCGGTATTGTTTACGCCTTTTTAACGCCCTACATTAAGCTACGTATTTCACTTTACCTTCACCTTAGCTGCTCACCTGTATTTGCTTGATAACATTAGATAACATGGCCCACACAGTTTAAATCAGTGTTCATTAAACAACATAGCATAGCTAGCTCTGGGGCTGCTAGCTCGCTTGTATAAAAAGTTGTTGTTATCGACACACGGAGGACATCAGATGGCCAAATACTAAAGCTTTCAAAGCTGCTTTCACATAATATAATACAGCAGGCAATGTAGAAAGTAACATGAATGTGTGGTATCCAGTTTTGCTGTTTTCTCGCGTATGCTAAATAGTATTGCTAGTTAGCAAGCTAACCTAGCATGATGTCAGCCAGGCCTGGCAGTGGCTGACTTTATCAGATAAAAAAACTGCATGTTAAAACGTTTCTACTCACAAAGAGAGTAAATGTAGTTAACAAGCTGACCTTTCATGCCATATGTTAGCATTACACCCACAATGCTAGCACATACACACACACAATACCTTGTGAACGGTGTTTTCACCTCCTTCTCTCGATTCGTCAAGACAGGAAAATGAACCTCAGGTGCTCCTGGAAACAATAACAGAGTGGTTGTCCTTGCTTGTCGCCTCCCCTTGTTTATAAATGACCGTAAGTGTAACGTTATAGTTAGTTTTGCGGCCACTGTTTCCTCCCTCTTTCTCTGATCAAACTAGTAATGCTGCTGCCAGGCAGGCGAGCTGTTGTCACTGCAGCAGCGCCGTCTATCGCCCCCTCTGGTCGTCTCCTGTCATTGCAAGCGATGGTGTAATACTTCTCTCGTTTTTTTTGGCGGATCGCAAACATGCCGCCACCTACTGTACAACAGTCTGTCGTGTCATTTACCTGTACTTTAAATTTTGCCTGCCAAACTTGTTTAATGAGAATGAAAAAAGAGCCCTCCTTCTCCCTCTGTGTCCTGTATTCCTCCCATATTCCACTCACGCCGTGCAGCTCTGATTTTCTCTCGCAACCTCTCTCTCAGTCAGTGTTTTTTCCTTGTTGGTCTTGAATGCAGCCTCCTGAAAGTAGGTCAGCTCCTCCCCTTGTCCAGCCCCTTAATTAGGTGAACCATATATAAAGCACCTGTGGCAAGACGGTCGCCTTGTTTTGTCTTGTCCGCCTGTTCTTTGATGCTTGTTCTTTGCGCCCCTGTCTGCCTTGTGTGTCCGGTGTCTGGTTTGTTAAGTGTCTTTTTTCCTGTTGGTCCTTTACTTGAGGCTCAAAGACTTACCTGAAGTCTGGGTAGCTGTCACCTTGTGAAAGAGTAATAGGGAATCCAGTTAAATGGCCTTTTATCGGCTGCTGTTTTTCCTATGTTTCGCGTGTGGCTGTTTTGTGCATTCAGTGTTTAGCTTTTAATGATTCGTTTTTTTATGGATTTGCTGTTAATTGGTTAAATTGTATTATGTATTTTTAAATTGAACCAACTGCTTTATTTGCTTTTCTTTGCTTAATTATTTTGTTATTTCCCCTTTAATGAAGTGTCTGCTGGCTGTTGGTGGGGCTAGGCTCTCTAGGTGGTTTGTAGTGGTAAGCACACTGGGACACAATAGTAATCTGCTGGCACCACTCACTTACCCCTCCCATTTTGCTCCTTTTAAAGGACATTTTAATGGAAGTGTTATTTTAGAATAAAATAAATTATATTGTAATAAACCTGTTATACATCTTGATTGATTTACCTCATTACAGTGTTAACTAAAACCCTTCTCTTCACAGATACTCCCAGTCTAAGTTTTAAATAAATTTACATTTTCTTTTGGAACCACGCCTCTGTCTTGATTCAGTTGTCGAACCTGTGTCGCCTTTGTCTGATAAAGGTGTTTATATATTCCCTGGTGGTGTTGTCAGGTCAGTTAGTTGATCGTTTCTTGTTTATTGTACTCCAGCCCTTAGTGCCCCTTGCCACATTCACACAATGATAACATCCACATTTTACTTGATTCCTCATCTTTCATACTTCGTCAGTTCCTTTCACCTAGAGTCTGAACATTGTCATTCAACCCAGTATGACCCAATTTAAGTACACTCATTATGATGAGTTCCTCCCTTCTGTTCTTTTCATATTACAACCGACTTTTGTATTTTGGACAACCCCCTTCCTTTCTGATCATCATAGTGGTGATGGAAATGTTGTTCTTCTTCTTGCAGACTATAGGCATGACATGCACATTGCTGCCAAGAACCAGTGTGATGACGATAATGATTTTTCTATCAGACCTATATCCTGGGATATAACCTGTGTTTTTTAAGAAGCACATTATTGTCTTGGCTCTCTTTTTGTCAATCTCCATTTTCTAATATTTATCTGAGAAGGTCTTAGCGTTAAGTTTTGTAAGTGCAATAAATAACTCCCTCCTCACTCCAAATGGACATTGCATCAGCATGTGCAAAACTGACTCCAAGGACTCCACGATGCCCACAGCAGCCATCAGCTGTGCTGCCCTACTAGCACCAAGCCACTGGCTAGCCCACAGTGTGCCAACCTCAACCTTGCCAACCTGACGTCCTCACTTTGTGGGATGCTGAGGGCTAGCCTCAATGTGTTATGAAACCCACAATTTACAAGATGCTGTTGTTAGTATTGCATGAATGTTTAATGGATTATAAATCGTACATTTATAATGCTTATAACACTTCATAAACCTAGCTATAAGTTGTTATAAACACGTATAAATGTTCTCATATTAATACGTTGATAAAAATATTCAAATAGGCTGAACTTGTATTTGTATAAACTCTGCACAGATTGACTAATTTGGCTAAATCAATATGCAACATGTTAGACTACAGGTGCTATTGGACTACACCAGACTTCGACACTGGTCATCATCCACTGGTCACCTGCCAAAGTCGTCCCCTCCTCCTCCTCCTCCTGCTGCTGCTGCTCCTCCTCTGGCCTGTCCACTCACTCTGGAGGTTATTACGCTCTTCATGCTGATTAGGTCTGAATGAATGGCTGTCTTTGTTCGGCTCCGGTTCCCACGACCCGGCATTCGCCTGGCAGTCGCGTGGCTCTTAGAACAGGGGCCCTCGCTTCAAGGGACCCCAAAGGCTGGGGGGGGGGGCATGTGGTCAATCTGACATCTGCTCGCTAACAGATCCTACCAGCAGATGTCTTACATTTGAAAGCATTGAGGGTGATCAAAGCTTGCTCATTGCATTTGAAACAAGTCCATAAAAAAAAGACATCTAGCAGAAGGAGGACTTAAATGAGAAACAATTCAAAGTTATATTAATTTACTTTTACATTTGAGAAGTGCCTTTTAAAGTCGAGTCTGTCCTGTAGGCTATATGGGTTGATATATTCTCAGGTGAGTTTTCGGTCCATTGTGTCTCTCGTGCGCTTTGAGGGAATAGGTCTGGCCTTTTTTTGTAAAGTGTAACGTTGCTCCTGAATAGATAAGTCGAGGGGCTCCCTGGAGTACAACATGGTAACTACATACTCTTGTTCCTCCCTGGGAGAAGAGGAAACTGCAGTTTTGTCTTTTTTTCTTCTTCTTGCTGGGTGGAGAGTTGGGTGGGAGAGTGCGGAATGGTGCATGGTTTCAGGCTGGACATCTGTCGCTTGTAGGGGGTGGGGGGTGTTTCCAGGCCGGGACTCTCGGTTATTGAATGGAGCTAGTGACCTGTCATTCTTGACTGATGGGACCCCGTGTGTGGGAAAATCCGGCAGCCAAAGAGTTGGAGCATTCACATGCTAATTGCGTCCGATAAATAAGAGGGTCGCGCCGCGCCGAGGGCCCTAGAGACGCACTGAGATCCAGAGCAGAGCGCGCAGACACCCGAGAGGAAACATGACTGCTGCATCCATGGCGCACAACGTGGGGAAACATGCCAGTGCCAAGGCGGAAAGAAAGGTATTTTACTGCTTGGATATGCTATAGATCTACTTCTCCTTAAGGTTTGGACACATGCGCTCCAGCGTGACGCCTCGCCACCTTTGCCGCCTTTAACTGACGTATTTTTTTTTACCCTCACAGCTGAGGAAGCCGCTTATTGAGAGGAAACGACGGGAGAGGATAAACAATTGTTTGGATCAGCTGAAAGAAACTGTTATCGGAGCGTTCAGGCTGGATGTGAGTATGTCCTCACGTCTCTCATCTCATAAACAAGTAAACAAAGTGTTATGGATCAAGTTGTAATGATGTCCAATGATGCTCGTTTCTTAACAGCAATCCAAACTGGAAAAGGCAGATATTCTAGAGATGACAGTGAAGCATTTGCAAAACATCCAAAGCCACAAAGTCAACGGTACGTAACATGGATTTTTACTGCTACTTTTTTTTCTCTGTGGGGTCATAACTTCCGGGTAAGGTGATGGTTATAGTCAGGTTAATGTTATCTGTTCATGTTTGTCTTGGGTCAGTAACAAGGAGATTCCAACTGAAATATGCCATGAGTTTGAGATCCCTTGTGATAGTTATTTTGAGACAGCATCTGCACAAAACATGTATAATGTTCTGTATGTAGCTCTAAAGTGGATTTAAGAGAGGTGTTTGTATTCTGGTCTGGTGTATTGTTTTTAGGAGTTTCCTGATTAGTTGAAGCCGTTTTACTATAGATGCATGTTGTGCTGTCACCACCAGGGGGTATAACTTCACACGTTTTCCTTCGCAGACCCCACAATAGGTCTGGAGGCCCAGCAGAAATACAGCACAGGCTACATCCAGTGCATGCACGAGGTCCACAACATGCTCCTCACCTGCGACTGGATGGACAAAACCCTGGGCTCCCGTCTGCTGAACCACCTCCTCAAGTCCCTGCCCAGGCCCACTGATGAGCGACCCCTCCATCCCTCACCCAGGCACGATGTTCCTCCTTCCCCTCCTGGCACGGGGCTTCACTGCAGCCCCCTCAGAGGGGACCTCCAGCTTCAGAGAGAAGCACCCACCTGCCATGTGTCTGGACCCCCAGAAAGAGCTGCTGTCCACAGCTCCCACCTGGGGCTACTGGACATGTGGAGGCCCTGGTGAAATGGTGGATGTAATGAGCTTGGTTCTCCATTTTTGTTAGGCCATCCTCTGTTATGTATCTTATAGATATGTTGCTCAGAAAACAAACGTGGGGCAGTTTTGTTCCAGTGGTTATTATTATTATTGTAGTTTTGCTATAATGATTCTTTCCTCAGTACTTCCCTTCAGAAGTCAACTTCTCGTAGCCTGCATTGTAGAAGGCTCTTATTAATCTTTTGTGTATTTATTGTATTAACAGCTTTATTTATTGGATTTAATATTGCTCTGCTTCTTAGACCACTTGCTTTGAACTATATAGAGATGTTTATGTCTTCCTTCTTTGCTTTATAATTAACCCAAATATTCATAATAATAAAGAAAAAGTATTATACACTCTTGACTTTTTATCCGAGAACAATCTTCTTTTCAGTAACAGAAATTGCTCCTGTAACTGGACATTACTGGAGAAGTGTCCATAGAGTGCAGAAAGACTAAACATGACACGAGCCCGGCATGGACAGGGTGGCGCAATGCACTCCAAAAAATGCTCAGACAGCTCCACAAAAATCATCCTTCATATCAATATTAGAAAATAACTGAAAAGTATTTTATTTCATCTTTTGTCGGTTTGATCAATCATAAAGACGCCACATTCAAATACATTATGTGCCTATGTATTTTTAGATTCTACAGCTTAAGATAAAGATAACATTAACCGTGCATGTTTTAGTTTACAGTCCTAAAACTATAGAGTACCTGAGTCTTGAAGTCTGGCACTAAGTGATATTACTTAATTGTGACCCTGTAAAAAAAAAAAAAAAAAACAGCTCTCTCAGGGATCAGGGTTTATTTCACATTTTGTGGGTTGGTAGACACTCAGATTACCCAAATATAAATATCAAAAACACTGTACAGGTGGATTTTTTATAAAATGTCCCCTTTAAAGTACTTAGAAAAAAAAGTGACCACACTTACAATTAAAGAAAACTACCAGTAGACTTTTAAAACCAGCCAGAATAGTTCATTTGTACTTAGTCCCGCCCCTTGCTAGGCAAATAGCTAATTATAGATTTGGACTTTGGGGTGGCCAATCATATACTTTAAGGGGGGCCCATGCCACCCCTCTGGACACAGCCCTGTAAACAAGCATCAAACAAGGACCCAGAAACTGAAGCAGTGTTTGGGGAAAGAAACGTTCTCTTGCTGTGTTTAATGTTTGTTTCCGTGATACTAGAAAGAAGCTACTGAACAACTTTAGCCTTTGTGTGACAGTTTTGCCCCCAAATGTTTGAACACATTTCCATAAACTGAGGCTCAATTTCTCAAAACTCTAAAAAAAAAAAAAAAAATGGAAAGAGTTCACTACATTGTCTGTGCTCTGAAACACACAATTACTGACACAGTTATCAAATGATTTTATCTTTCAGAGCATCAACTGAACACTGATGTGATCAATTCAAAACACGACCATCACGTTTGTGTTAGCCATGTTACATATTCACATCCAGACAAGAGTTTGCTTGATTTTTGTCCTGAAACAGCTTTTACAGTACGACATGTAAATGAGACTTATGTTTCCTATTTAACATAAACTCAGCTCACCTGTAAGGACAACGAGAAACACAACAGAGAAAATCAGTGCACTGATACAAAAAGATAATGAAATATTTAATCGTTACTGCAATACAAAGAGTACATTTGAACTGACAAAACATGAGCAAGATGAAACAGATCACTGTGTACCTGATTACAGTGCATCACCTGAGGGGTCTTTTAGCCCCTGACTCCGAGTCTCTCTCTTAATTAAGTTTGCACAGTTTGAGCAACATGAGTGAGACAAATGTGTCGTATTTTAAAGGTCAGAGTTTCTCGGTGAACAAAAAGTGATGAGATTTGTGTTCAGAGATTTGCAGAGCTGCCTCATAGTCACACTCAAAGCAGATATTGGTTCATGGTCGTCATGAACCAATATCTAATATCTAACCAAATGTTCAAAGCAAAGCGTAGGGATTCTCTGAGTGCATTCATCCTGCAATCAGGATGTCTTACTTTTCAAATTTAATCTTTCGCGGCTTTTAAATAGCACCACAAGAAATGTATAAAAGATGTGTGGAAAGCTCCAAAGAGGCCAGTTGGACAATTATGGTTTGGTTTGGGGAGTGACTGCTTGATGAATTTATCTGCAAACAGGTGTTTAGTCTGAGGTATTAATGATACATAGATCACTTTTTACACAGAATTGGTGATGAATGGATTCAAAATTAAATCGTTTTATGGCACAAAAGTGACATTCTTTATGAAAATGTGCCCTTTGTAGATCCTCCGCATTCATAATAAGTCAGATGGAGGGATAAGGGTCGTTGTGAGCCGTGAAGTCTCAACACAGCCTTCTGAATTTGTGCACACAACTCGTCACGAAGTGTCCACATGTAGGCGATAGTCCTGGTGCCATTAAGTAAAAAAAAAAAAAAAAAGATGTACTGCATCATTGGTTTCAGAACAGTAAAAACCTCGCTATTATTGTCGTTATGATTGGTCGCCACATGGAGCCAGGCGTCTGGTCCAGGTCTGAAGAGAGGAAGACAGAGAGGGGGGTGCCTGGTCCCTGAGCGGGGCTCACTAACAAAAGCGAGCCGAGACAGCTGCTCTCTCCACAGTCCACACCATTAAAGATCTGGAACAGAGATCTGGAGGTGGCGAGGTGCCAAAATCCTCCCACTTGAAAGGTCTGAAACTCTTCCTTCATTATGGGCACTCGAGTTTTTGTGGCGCTTCAGGCGGAAATGCTGCGCAATTGTGGAACCGTGCGTAAAATAGCACCTGTATGAGTACATGGTTTAATTCACCTGGAAGATTGCACAGATGCCGTCGTGCTCTCCTTTTCCATCAGACAGAACTGTCCTTTTGTTGTGGTGATTTGCATGATAATACACTGCACCCAACATGTATAATAACGAGGGCAGAGAGGGTGCTCTTATTGGGCCTCAGCAAATAGACAGTGTGCGCAAAAGTCTGATTACGCTCATCCAAATTCAGAATGTCAAATTATTGCCAGCATCTTTCATTTCTCAAAACTTAAATTGTTTTTTGGTGAATCTTCTTATTTTGCAACATATGACGCAAAACAGTCTTAATATCCTGTAACTGTGAGTTTTTAACGAAACACATCAGACATTTTCTGCTTTGCTGAAAACTTGAGATTGCAGTTGCACAGAAATCCAGGAGTCACCAAACAACGAGGAGAACAAACGAGGCGCAGGCAACACCTGTCGCTTTCTTTGGAGAAGGGCCCTTAATTCCCCCGGCTGATTCAGTTTGGGCCGAGGGGCCGCCAGCAGCAGCTGCCAACTGAAGGCATCGCGTTACATCCTCCAAACAGCCGGCCGGGTAAATCTGCTGAGGCTCGACCACAGAGGCCAACAGAAAGAGGACTCGGTAGGGCAGAAACAAAAACAGAGCCAGTGCTGAGACTCATGTAAGCAACACTGATCTGCTCTGATGTGTAAAAGTAGTCAAAGAAAAGAAAGAAAGAAGCTGCCTTTTCAACAAAGAATATTTTATTTCTAAGTTTAGACCTACATCATTGCTAACAATAATAATTAACCTAAGCGTGCATTTAAAGTTACTAGACCAGTAAATAAGGTTTTATTGTTATTTTTCAGTGGTGTCATTCAGACATATGCTTCTGCAAGATAATGAACTTGATATAGCTGAATTAAATTGCACTACACACAGTCAATTGGAATCAACAAACAAACAGTGCGTTCGGTCCCCTAACCCAACAAACTGTCTGATTAAAGACCATCCAGATCCTCGGGGCGCAGACCGGGTCTGACCGGAGACAAAGGGAGTGGGCGCTCATTGGCTCCGGCCGTGTGCGCTCTGTTGTCCCCCAGCGAGAGCAGCCCAGCCCCTATTCACATGTTAATAAGCCCCTATAAATACTAACAACAGCCCCTCAGCGCTGGCACCACGTCTCACTAGGATTGCACAATAAACACAGGGCGCCTCGCCTCTGAGTTTCCTTCTTCTTCTTCTTCTTCCAGTAACCGGTTCCGTTTGCCAGCTGCTCCTCGCTGAAGATTGCGGAGGAAGAAGCAGCGGTGGGAGAAGCCAGAGAAGCGGCGATACGACCAACATGGCCCCCGCAGCTCGGCCCAGCGTTACCGGACCCGGTTCAGAGGACGATGAGTCCTACTACGGGGTTCAGAGGGCGGACAGAAAGGTATTTGTTTGGGGAATAACACGCACTTGTCACATCGGCTTAAGCTTTATTACTACAACAGCTAGTAACATAAAATGCATTAGGCTACTTGAACTCATATCCAGAAAAAAACAATAGCCTGTCTTTTTGTGTATGAATTAAGTGTGATGTTTGTCCCTGCAGACCAGGAAACCTCTGGTGGAGAAGAAGAGGAGGGCTCGCATCAACGACAGTTTGCAGGAGCTGCGGACCCTCCTGGCGGACACAGACGTGAGTAGTACATCACTCCCCTCCCCCTGCATCTCTCAACTTACCTGGGACAGATGACACACATGGAGATTCTGGTTCTGATCGAGCTTGTTTGTTTGTTTTCCACAGTTTCACTCCAAGATGGAGAACGCAGAGGTGCTGGAGATGACGGTGAAGAAGGTGGAGGACATTCTGAAGAACCGGAGCCAAGGTCTGCACATCTCTGTTCACCCACACCCTGGAGTATTATCTGTAAAAATAACTGTGATGGAGAAATGTTATGCAACCAAACGGATCTTTTATCTCCCAGCAAATAATCAAACTAATGAATGTTGTCTGACCTGATTTAATTTACACAACCAAGTCATCATTTAAAATGCATCACCATGACTCTAAATCACAGTCAGAAGTCCAGATTGATATCACGAGTAGTATTTCACAGTTCTACATTTTACAGGAAAGGCCGCAACCCTCACTGTAACAAGTAGCTTCACTCGTCCGTGTTTTAGACGAGGGTCGACCCCAACAAATGGTCCCAGGGTTTTCAACTGGAGAGTAAAGCAAATGAAAAATGCATACCTGTTACTTGACCCCTTCTGGATATTAAAATCAGAGTCTCCACAAATGTAGTGATTAAGTGATCCCACGGCAAAAAGGTTGGGGACCATTTATTAAGAGCGTAAGAGCAACCTTCAGTCAGTCTGTTAATGGGTACAGATCTGATTCCTTAAAATCTGGATAGCCAGAAAAAAACTGACATTTCTTACATCATTCCTTGAAGTCATGAGATTTGTTAAAGACCCTGCTGCTATAGCGTGGCTGGGACCACGAGCAGCCTGATGCACGACTCATTTCATTGTCTTTGTTTGTCCTCCAACAGAAACAGACACGCTGAACAGAGAAGCCAGCGAGAGGTTTGCAGCCGGCTACATCCAGTGCATGCACGAGGTCCACATGTTCGTGTCCAGCTGTCCGGGGATAGATTCCACCGTGGCGGCGGAGCTCCTCAACCACCTGCTGGAGTGTATGCCACTGAACGAGGACCACCTCCAGGACGTGCTGATGGATCTGATCACTGACATGTCTGGGAGTAACGGCAGCACTTGGCACGGAGGCAACGAGTCGCTCTGCACGTCTCTTGATTCGCCCGGAGGAAGGAGCATGTCCAGCAGCTCGTCCGACGCCCTCTCTCCAGCCCCCTCCACCACCTCCAGCGAGGACCTGTGCTCCGACCTGGACGAGACCGACAGCGAGCACAACCAGAGCTCCACAGAGGCCTCGGAGAACAGGGAGGCCCTGAGCATCCACACGGTGGCCTACCCTCGGTCCATGTGGAGACCCTGGTAGGGTCTGGATTTGGACGCGGTGTAAATGGAGATGTATAAAAGATCCTTTTCGTCTTGTTTGTGGACTTTTTAAAACTCCGAGACACTGGGCAAAGAAAAATTCCAACCTTTGACACAGGAACATTTCAAACACATTCACCCCTGCAGATGTTGTGGCCACATGCACAGATATTTTTGAGGGATTTCCAACATTACAACATGCAGTGACCATTGTGTGTACGGTTATAGGACAAACAACATCCTCAGAAGAAGAAAACTCAGCTGCGCTTTGGATGGACATGAGGAAGTAGCAGCCTTCTTTGCACTCTGGGAAATGTAGGAAATCACTCAGTGAGGTAGAAGTGAACCATGTAAGTCGGTAGAGCAGCCTTTTCTTTTTACGACAACACATCTGAGGTTCAGACAGAAAGCAGCCCCTCGTCCTCTTTTCAGCCGGGACTCCCGGGCTGCTGGTTCTCTGTTGTGACTCTTTCTCACTCCTGGAAAAAGCGGAAACCTAACCCATCAAAGGACACTTGAGGAGCAGTTTAGGTTCACACTTCTGCCTTTGTATATTGTATTTGTATGTGGAGGGATAAAAAGCTCTTTTAGAAACTCAGAACTTTGGCGATGCCTCTGATTAATATAAATATTTCTATTGTATTTCTTAAAAGCCTGTAGTTTATTGGACCAGTAACGTCTTTCAGAATGACCCCTTAATGTTGTAACGATATTTAGGAATGCCAATAAATGTATGAATTTGTTTAATAAAATAATGTATAGAAGAAGCTTGCTGCTCCTTTGTTTTGACTTGTGACTCTGGCGACCTCAGACATACAAAACACAAAACGGCTGTTTGCTCTTTTAATCTGTTTTCAATCATGTGATAGTTTTTCTACTGTGTTGAAGGTAAACTTTCATCTTAGAGCACATTTAGGCTTCTTGGTGTTTGTTCTTGTGGACAGAGGAAGACAGGATGGGAGGACGTTTCTGCACGATGGAGACAGACAGACGTAAGCTTCTTGTTTTGGCTACGATCCACAGCAGCCTTTGTTCAATATATTTAATATACGATATGATTATTATTGGTCAATAATTAAAGACTTGCAACACAGTGCTCCCAAAAATATAACTACATATCATTTAGGCTCCTTAATGCATTTTAAAACACTGCTCTTCATCAGGTGCTCTAAACCAGTTGTTCTCAACTGGTTTAGCCTCAGGACCAACCACCATGAGAAATCACAACCAGTCAGATTCATTTAATGAAAGGTGTTACAAAAAACGAGAAAACGTGTTTAAAAGGCACTCCATGGACTTTTTGACGACGTTTGCTCATTTGTGACCGGCTGAAAACAGCTCTCCGACCCACCAGTTGAGAACCACCGCTCTTAACGGGTTCAGGTATTAGTTTTCAACAAAATCAGTCAGAGTCTGAGCCACAGGCGTGGACATCAGGGTTGAGCAAATCCAACCATGTTGCATTAAACTATAGCATGTATTTTTGGTATATTTTCTGTTGATATCTAGAGGTGTGTGAAATCCTGTTTCATATTCACAGACTGTGTAGGTTTAAAGTGTATGTCCTCTATGTTTAAAGTCTAATCTAGTGAAGTCGGATGTCCACTTCAACGGGTGGGACTCCAAGTGTGATTTGATTGATAACTAACCCTTCATTCATGTTTTGTCGGAAAGTTGTAAAAAGCTCATGAACGCCCGCTTAATGCGGAACAACTACTCTGGAAACAATTAGGCGTCCGACTTGACATCATAATCCTCGTCACATGGGAGGCAAAAGAGGTTTTGTGAATGTTCAGATGTTAAGTCACGTATTGCACATCAACCTTTTGCTCAAACCTGTAACAGACATTACACATCCTGCACAATGTCTGAGTCACGTTCTGGAAAACAGGGAACTGGACCTGATTGCAGATTTATTAAAAAATGTATTTTAACAAAGAAAGCAAACAAAACACTTACTTGATTTAAATTCCAAAACATCCAACAAAATTCCACAAAGGAAAACTGGGAGTCAAACACTGGAGGGTAGAGAAGAAGGTAAACACACAAGGTGCAATCAAACACAGGTGAGGCAAACAACACAGGTGAAGACAATCAGGGTGATCAGAACACACAGAGGCAGGAGGACAGACAAGAGAAGAAAAACTGGGGACAAGAACTAAAAAAATGAAACAGGACACAGATTAACTAGGACAAGAAACACCAGGGAAGAATGAGACAATCTAAACTCTGAAAATATACAAAACCAATTAAGACCAAATCATGACACTTTGTTGTTGTTTATTTTTGCAACATTCAGACTTTCAGAAGTGAAATCACATGAACACACTGAAGTTGGACGGACGACTTCCCAATCTCAGAAACTGGGACCCTCTGAGGAGCACCTGAATGCACCATAATTAACTGGACCTGTTTATCATACAGCACCACATGAAGGGCATCGGTTTGCCGGGTTTGAAAACTGTGTTTGTATAAACATTAAGTGAATAAAATGTGATACTCGAACCACAACAGTGGGAGTCTTCTTGAATTGCATCCAGCAGTTTTTTACGACTCTGCACCTGAAGAATTGTTGTGTGTGTGTTTGCTGACTTTGTCACCTTTCATCTTCCATACATTCCCACGGTAAATAAAATCCAGTTTGGGGGGTTCCTGATAGCCTAGTGGTTATGTCGCTCACCCCATGTGCAGAGCCTAAAGTCCTCATCGCCTCGGCCCCCTTCCTGCATGTCATCCCCCCCACTCTCTCCCCCCCTCCAGTGTTTCCTGTCTCTCTTCAGCTGTCCTCTCCAATAAATCCAAAAAGGCCCAAAACATATCTGAATAAATAGAAGCTTGTGTAAAGTGTGTGTTGTGCATTTTCTCTCCTCACAAAATGCTTTTTGCTGCCACAAGCTTCAGTTCCACATACATTCAATCTGCAGAATAACAGAACCTCATTACAAGCTTTCCTCTCCCTTAACAACACCCCAGACCTGCCGTCACTCCTTTGACAAAAGTCGCGCCTCCCCCGATGTGTCTCCTCTCTCACCTCACATTCAGCGAGCACATCATCAAAGACCTGTGAGATCCTGTCTGTTCTGCCCGGAACCAACCTCAGGGACGCACCAACATACGCCTCCACTTCCTGTTTTAGGAGGGAATAAAGAATAAAATGAAAGCAAGCTGTGCGTTTTATGTCCCAGAGTTGAAAGGGAAGATAAGCCAGGAGAGGATCAGACCACATGTCAGTATGCTGGTGCTTCTCTAAGCCTTACAACGGATGGAGGAAATCAAACCTCTGCAGAAATGTTCAGGCTCAAGTGCAGCCTTCTTAAGAGTGCATCCTCTAAATGTAGACAGGATATTTTAGTTGTTTTGTTCAGAATCATCACTCTAGGAATAGATGAGCAGTTTTATCTCATGTAGGCATCCGAGGGAATCACACAGCAGGTCGCCTCGCTAAAAAAAAGTGTTTAAAGCAAATCAGGTGCAGGTAGCAGTTCTGGTAAGCAAAGCAGAAACTAAATCTGTTATATGGAGCAAAATCAAAGAGCATTGGCAGGTGTAACGGGACAAAGACACTAAGGAGAGGCGTTTTATATGAGATCCAGCAGGAAGTCAGAGAGGGAAGGTCACAGGGGAGAAGAGTGCCTGATCAGCAGGATGAGAGTCCAATCCAATCCGACTTTATTTATAGAGCACATTTAAAAACAACAGAGTTGGCCAAAGTGCATACATTCCCACACCATCAAATAGATGAAAAGCATAAAAAGGAAAAATAACAATCGAGGAAGCAAAACAGAACAAACAAACAAAAAAGAAGAAAACAATAGAAAACAAAGTCTAGGAGGCCAGCTCCTAGGAATGGGTCACATCACATGAGATTCATCGCTACACTTCTTCTGGAAACATCCGAGCAGAACATCTTCAATCAGGTGGAAAGTGTGTTGGAGCATGTATTTTATTATCTGCCTCAAGAATGCAAATGAAAGAACTATGTGGAGAGTGAATGAGTTACATGCATTGATTTAAAAACAAAACACTTTTTAAGCATGCCTTCCCTTCCTGTCTGTTTCTCCTCTTGTTTCACGGTTTGGTTACCTGACTGTCAGATCTTTACAGCTGCAGCGTAAGGCGAGCTCTCCCCTCCATGGCTGTTGTCGCCCCTTTAAACGGGGAGTTTCAGCTTCTCCGCTCCTGGCTGTCGGTTTGTTGTTGCTCCTAAAAGGGAGAACAAAACTCTACAGGAACACTTTTCTACCTGCAGCACTACTCAACAAAGATAGCACAAGATGATGCACTTGAACCATGTGAGGATGTTTAAAACTTTTGGGTGGGTGTCTGTGTAAGTGCCATGTGATGTAATCGACTGTGTTTGTTTAAAGTATTCTGTCAGTATCTTTGGAACGCTGAATCTCTCGTCTGCACAACCTTTTTAGGTAAACAGGCCTTCTTATAAAGAAAGCTTGGATCTTGAATCTGCAAAACACTGGACTGATAACAAGGATATGAGAACTATGAAGGTTTAATATAACAGTAGGCGGCGATAATGCCCCGCCTGGTAGCAGTCAACATTAAAAGAAGAAGAAGAAGAAGACAGAGGAAGATTTCTTCTGTTGTAGTAATGTGTAATATTCGGTTGAAATTCACACTTTCATTATCTGTTGGCAACTGACACTGGAGTCTTAAAAATGATGAATAGATTTGGGTGGAGCAGGAGGTAGAGGAGGCCACACACACACACACACACACACAGACACACACAGACACACACACTGGACTCGGGGTGTGAACAGTCAAGGAAACACATTGAAATGGGAGCGGACAGACACGCGGATCAAAGCTGTGACCATTTGACAGGAGAGTGTTAAACAGCCACAGCTACAAAGGATACAAGCAGGCTCCCATTCTTCAAAGGGACACACACACACACACACACACACACACACACACACACACACACATACACACACACACACACACACACACACACACATACACACACACACACACACACACACCACACACACACACACACACACACACACACACACACACACACACACACACACACACACACACACACACACACACACACACACACACACACACACACTGCTCATCAAGACCTCCAGGCTGTGGGCTGTCAGGGATGAACCCTTGTTGTAGGTGATGGAAGAAGAAATATTCAGATATTATTAAGACATTAAATATACGACAGCGGCTGAGTCTGCATATGAATCTAATCCATACTGAATATGACGTCACACTGAATAGTATGATCTGAAATTAAACAGTAGTATGCAGTTTAGTGTTTGCCCAGATGTAGGCCTGCACTGGACCAGCCAGAACTTTTAAGTTTGGTTGTGTTTGAAATCACACTCTCACTCCGTCCTCCATACTCCCTTCATCTGTAGAGGACTTCATAGTGCACTCATTCGGCTCATTGGAAAGACAGTTCAGACACTCCTCGCTCTCTAGCCGGCCTCCGACTGACAAAACCAGACAGGTTAAAGGACCCACAATGCAATGCAGACTCACACAAAGCAGAGTTCAATAAACAGTTCACGTCAGTACACAGGTAAGCAATCAGAGGAGCAGATATCGGCCTACTGAACAGTAGGTCCTAACAGGATACAGCACGCAGAGAAGGGACCGTCCACTGTCAGACTGTAGAGGCACTTTGAAATTCAGAAGCACCCAGGAATTATATACACAGACAATCAGGGGATAACAAGACACAGGAAGTCGGAGTATCCGGAGAAAACTCCACAAAGAGAGGCTCCTGTCAGACGGGGCATTCAAACCAGGAACCTCCACGCCTTGAGGCAACAGCACTAACCACTGCACCACCTTGCAGCCATCACATATTTATCCTCAATTTAAATGAATTAAACTACTTGTAAACCGACAATTTAAAAAAAGATAATAATTCACAAATATCCTCTAATCCCTGCCCCCTTCTGTTTATCCTTTCACTGCTTCTCTTGTTGTGTTTTCTCAACAATAAAAGGGGGAAGAAATTGTGTGTTTCTGGCCCATCAACGCCCCCTTCATGTCACCACAATCTGCAAACCAAAAGCGACAGACGACAGGCTGGCTGCGTTAACACATTAAGCTTTTAGAGGGAAAATGTATACAATACAAAAAAAAATCAAAAATCAAACAGGAGGGAAAACTTTTGTGTCCAAAAGCATCAGCTGTGGCTTTTGTGACCGTGCATATGAATCCTGAGGTCAAAGGTCAGTGTAGTGCAGCAGTTGGCGTGAGAGTGATGCAACGGCAGAGAGAAGAGCATATGGCGTTGAAATGGATCCCCGAGGGGATTCTCTGCAGACCTGGGGTACTTCTCAACTGTCTGTGGGGGAACAATGACTCCTGTGGCCAGCAGTGTGCAACACACAATACACCAAAGCAAAGATGTTTTCTTTCATATCAAGGAAACGACACATTACACGCATAAAACAAGGATAGATCAAATGTGATAGCATCTATACATACACACATTTATGCATGTATGCATACCCTATGTACAAATATTGATACAGAAGAAGAGTGAAAAGAGGATGCATTTTTTTGGGGACCATTTGGCCAAAACACTCTCTGTTTTTAATGTCAGCTGTGCAGTTATGAATTCCATAGGCGATAAGAATAGAAAAGGCAGCATGTGGTGATTTAACGGCTGACCGTGGCTCTCCAAAATATTCCCACTTAGACAGTTGAGTTTGTTTGCAGCCTCTGATTCAAGTTTAATCATTTATTATTTCATTTATTTAAACTCCTGTATGCTCTAAAATCACTGAAACAAATTCCTTTTTGGGGTAAATCTATTGTTGTTAAACCCGATATTCTGATTTCGATTCAAATTTTTGCCTTCAAAAATGTAAAAGTTTTCCTCAAAGAAAGCCTCGACAAGACTGATCATTTCCACATTGTTATTTTTAATGTCTGTAATTGCTGCTGTGGGGTCGTGTAAGCAGTTATGATTCTAGAGTTTGGTCTGGCCCTGAGGCAAAAATCAATTAGGGGCCATCTCTCCAAAAGAGGTTAAAGATGGATAATTCCACCTGATTTTTCTTTTTTGATTTTCCTTGAAAAACTTTGGTTTTCACAGCAATAATGGCGTAAAGTGATGCTCAGCAGGGCAACAAGAGTGAGGTTTCCTACTACCATTAAAAACTTTGCACATTTTGGGCCACTGCTTTGGTTTAAGCTTGTGAGCCCTAAGAGGGCCCCATACTAGTCAGGGGCCCCAAGCTGTTGCCTGCCTTGGCTGTTGACACCCAGCAGCGCCTCTGGGTGAAAGACGAGAGGATTGACAGCACGCTGCAGAAACAAAGAGTATTGATGAGTGTGATACGTTAGACTGTTTTAAGAAAGCCAGATGACGTTTTTTTGTTGTCATGAACTACGTGTACACAGGGTCAGAAAAAATAGATGAGTTACCGCTTTGTCCACAGGGGGGCGCCAGCATCAACACAAACCTGCAGTTCCTCATTGGAGCTACGTTTGCAATGATTCACAGTACCAGTACAGACAGGACTGTGTCTCTCCAGATACGTTTGTAAAGGTCTAACTTATTTCATGTATACGTTTTTGTAGGGTTTAAATTTGAACCTTTGTTCGGGACGTTATAGCCTACATGATGATGGTGGTGGCAGGTGTTAGTAGATGTGACAGATGTTTCTTTTAAGTTTGTAAAGTGACCTTTTATACTTAAGAGGTCATTTTCTTTCTTCTTCCTGCAGCATATGACCTTTTCATGTTGATCAAGGAGCTAAAGAAATCATCTGAGTGACACACATGGTTATATTTCTGTAGTTTTTATTACAACATTGTCTGCATGTCTCAAACAACACCACATTACCTACAAAAAAACGCACCGACCTGTGCCAGTTTCTTACAGCACAGATTCATACAGCGTCAAACATATTTACATGACCATACACAGCATCGTGTGAGAGTACCGTGTGAATTCCCCCCTCTGTGAGGATAAAGGCTTTTAAACTCTGCAGCATCATCCTCTCCCAGCGGACAGAGAACAACAGATTCTTTCCATATTTCTCTTTCAATAACATCTAACTACATTCTTGTATTCGTGATAGGTTAACCACAGGTGAGTGTTGGAGGGGCTCGTCCTCTCCCTGCTCGAGCCCGTCCCTCACCGGAATCACTGAAGTATCGGACCCCTCTTGTCCATTGCGCTTTGCCCACATTCATACACATGGTATGTGCTGCTTTAAACGTGACCTGGGATTTATTAGAGGTAGGCTCCGTGGTCCCAGATGACACTTAAACACTCTTGATGCAGATGTCAAATAAAATAAAAAAATAAAACACACCAAAGAAGAAGAATAGAAAAATAGAACAATATTAAAAAACGTTCTGACATTTGAACGAGAAAACAAAACAAAACAAAAAAAAAAAAACGGTGAAGACAAACTAAGCCAGAGGGATGCTCTTGGTCCAGTCTGTTACATTCACAAACCCCGACAGCGTCTCTGCTGTAGCACCACACATGTTCCCAGTATTAACCTCGACTGGCTTACATGGAGCCAATGTGGACCGCGTTTTCCTGAAGACTTCATGTAACGACGACGTAGGGCTCGCCGGTGCATGCATGTCACCACTTCCTATAAGTATCCCAGGGTAAGCAATAAGGTCACTGAGGCAATATGGTCCCCTTATTTGCTACAATTGTTATGCTGTTTTTTTCCACCATGCTGTAATATTTCAGTGCTGATGCTTGGTATTGATATATGTTGCTAAAAAAAACAAAAAAAACAAAAAAAACATACTGAACAATCTGAACTGCAGCACAGCGACCAGTACAGACGATGAAATAATCGCCCTGATGGTCGTGCGTGAAATACACCAGTTCTGTTTGACAGTCGCTAAGAGTGGAAATAATCTGAAGGAGAAGAAGAAATGGGAAAGTCTCAAAGAAGGATGCAAACAGAAACAATATCATTCTGCATTATGTAGAAATCCAAAGATCAGCACCGGTTTGGTCTTCAAATGACACTGTAGTAGAGATGCACCATATTTACTTAAAAAAAGAAAAGAAAAAGGATATTACCAGTTTTGGCATTATTTGGTAACGTACAGGGCTGAAACTCAAGATATAAAAAAGAGGTGAAAGATAAATAAGAGATCCAAAGTGAAATTATTTCTACCTCTGTTTTTCTTTTTTCCTAACAAACACATGTCAGCATTATGTTTGTGATCCTGACCAATTTTTTTCCCGAAGCCATCATGCTGTGTTGTTGTCCACAATAGAAAACAACATGAGACCCCGGAGACAGAAAACAACCTTTTACATACGAGGAGTCAAGAGTGAAGAAGAACTGAAACATTCTGTGTTTTTCAAACCAAAAAAAAAAAGTTTACAACTGTGTGGATTTGGCTTAAACTTTAGACGATCTATTGTAGATACATTTTTTGGTAGAAAATAAATAGGAACCCCTCGCACTACGTTTCAGATTGTCACTTTTGAGAAGGTAAAAAAAACATTCCCCACATGACTTCATATTCGCTCTGGAGTGAAGTGCTTTTTGTTGTTTTACCTCTCCAGTGAAACTAAAGTGCTGCTTCTCGCCCCTAGACCCAGCCGCCTACATCGTCCAGCGAAAACCTCATCTACTGTACATAGCGAGTTCCTTGTGGGGTAACAACAGCGATCCTGGGGTTCGAACTGGATCATGTGACATAACATTAAAAGACAAAAACATAATGTCTGGTGGTGAAGGACTCGAACGGCAAAGCAGCCATATCCTTAAATTAACTCTTTGTAAATCTCTGCCTCTGGAGAAGAGGATGGAAAACAATTAAATAAACTGTTATCTTACAGGCCACTGTTCACAATGTCTAGGCCCCAATGTGTGTGTGTGTGTGTGTGTGTGTGTGTGTGTGTGTGTGTGTGTGAGAGCTGGCAGAAGTCCAACATCGGCGCCTTCCTGCTTCCTGTCGGTACATTAAGATCTGCACTTCAACAGCAGTCCTCTGCACAACACACACATGAACAGACGTGTGGCACGCATCCTCATTTTCAGCGCAGCGGCGTCACAGAGTTCTGATGAGTTCATGTTGTGTGTGTGCATCACGAGGGTCCATGGCTGGTATAGTGTGTCCCCCTGCTCAATGGCTGGCAGGCTGTGTGTGTGTGCATGCTCAGGAGCCAGTGTCCTGTTGAGGCTGAGAGGCCTCTGATTGGCTCCTGGCGTTCCGGTCCTCTTGTCTCAGCTCCTCGGCAAGATTGCTCATTTCCATGTCGGGTAGATCCTCCTCGATTGGAGATGCCGCTGCTGCATCTTCGCAGTACACACACTCCTAAAAACACACACACACAACGGAAATGTTAAATAAACCAACCAAGACTGGAACTTACATCTTCACCTGACGCTGAAACACAGCTGCTTAACTCAGCTGATGTTTGAGGGGCAAAACAAGTGTTTGTTCTGTACCTTTACATTGATAGCAGCTGGTAGGCCGCCCCTCCTCATCCAGGGGTGCTGCTCCAAGAGCTCTCGTCGCTGGTCTGACGTGAAGTGAGGCTGGCTCTTCTGCATCTGCCTCAGCCTCTCCTTGTCTTCTCGTAGAACCCTCTGGATGTCCCTGCAGGTCAGCAAACACACACATGTAAGTTACAGAATAACAACAAGTGGAACAGGTAGAGAGGACTCTAATGTAGTCATTTGTTATGATTCAGATCACTGCAGGCCAGCGACTCACTTGGATGGCATTTGATACGTCATCATGACCTTGTCGTCAGCGTTGGCCATGAGCAGCCAGAGGGGCTCCTGGAGAACATATCTATCGAAAGGATCTCCGTCCCCTTGGGTTGACACCTTGGTCTGGGACTGCGCTCCATCAGAGCCTCCTTCGCCTCTCGTCTTGGCTTTGGCTTGGGTCTTGGGATCAGGTTCCAGGGAGTCAACACTACCAAAGTATTTACTGGTGTTGCTGCTCCCTGTACAGTTAAAGAGAGAAATGAAGACAAAAACAGAATGAGTTTATTCACTTTCACTATACCAATTCATCAGAAACTAGTACCATCATGGTTTTGTGTGAGTAGAAGTGCAGTTTATTCAGTGGATAGCTGTCAAGCTAACTGGGAAACTGACCTGTTCTGCTGCCAGAAGCTCCGCTAGCTGATGTTCCAAAGCCTGAGCCAGATCCTGAGCCCGATCCAGATCCTGAGCCCGATCCAGATCCTGAGCCCATGGAGCCGGAGGTGGCCGATCCCGTGCCGGAGTGGGAGTCCTCCCGCAGCAGCATGTCCAGCAAGTCACAGGAAGAAGAGTTACCATCGCTGTGGGCTCCGTCTCCTTGAGAATCCAACTGAAACACGAGACGACAAATGATCAGAGACAAAGCGTCACACTTCAGAGCCGCAGTGTGAACGGCTGAATGTGTGGCTGTGTATGAGTGCTATGAAAGATTAAGCTCATTGCATCTTTTACCTGTTGGAAACTTTCAGACTTGAACGTCCCTCCCATCTTTTCCACTGCTGCTCCACCAAATCCTGTTGATAAACTGTTACCCTGGAGTCCAGCAGGGGGCATTGTGCCGTCCTGTCTTTCCACTGAGCGCTGTCCCTCCTCCATGCTGAGCAGGTTCAGCTGCAGCGGCGAGCTGCAGCGCGACTCAAACAGCGGCGGTGACGTGGCAGGGTCCCTTGCTCCAGAGGCCGGGGTGGAGGAGCGTGAGGCGGCCCCTTCTTGAGGCTCCACAGCCAGAGCTTTGGTGGAGTCAGCGGTGAGGCTGTAAGGGAAGGGCTGTGCTGGATACGGGGCTTGAGCCACAAACTGAGTCTGAACTGGGAAAGAAGGCTGGGCAGCAAAGGGCTGCTGGGTAGTGTAGGTAGGCTGAGGGGCCTGGAATGGCGCCTGGGTGGTGTAAGGAGTCTGCGGCGTCTGGAAAGGCTGCTGGGTAGGGAAGGTGGTGTGAGCAGTTTGGAATGGCTGTTGGGGAGTAAAAGCAGTCTGCACAGGGAACGGCTGTTGGCTGGCGAAAGGGGCTTGAGTCTGTATGGTGTAGGCCGGCTGTGGGGGCTGAAAGGGTTGCTGAGTCGTGTATGCAGGTTGAGTCTGGGACTGCTCAGCATAAAATGTGGGTCTCGGAGCAGTCCCAATCTGCCCCATCTGCCCTATCTGTCCAATTTGACCTATCGGTCCAATCTGACCTATCGGTCCTATCGGCCCCATTGATCCTATCGGTCCCATCGGTCCCATCTGGGGGAAGAGGTAATTGGGTAACACCAGAGCCACCACAGGTGTAACAAGGGGTGCAGGAAATGGTGTGGCAGTGGGTGGGGCTTGGGTGTTCTGCCCCTCTGCAAATCCGGCAGAAAGGGAAGGGTCAGGGCAGGGGGCCTGAGCTGGGGCAGTGGGTGCTGGGGGGTAGAGGGGGTATGCAGGCACCATGGCTGGGTAGGAAACGTTAAAAGCTGACTGGGACGCTTCTGATAGAGACCACGACGTTTGGTTGAGACCCTGCAGAGGGGGCCGGGGTTTGCGGTTGGATATTGCGCTGTCTGACGAATCAGGATGCTTCATCCTGGGCTTCTTGGACTTCCTGTTGCGGTTGCCCTTCTTGGTGGTAGTCTCAGGCTTGGAGGGGCCCTGTTTGGCTGATCCCCGTGGTCCAGATGGTTCTGAGATGACACACAGAGGAGTCAGACGGTTATTTTTCAGGAATGCTTTTAATTGAAATGTTGTCATTTGGATATCTAAACCATGCGTACCTTCTGCGATGGCTGGACCTTTCTGTCTGTGCAGATACGCGGAGCAGCCTTTCTGGAGGGTCCTGGGGTTAGGGACCTCTCGGAAGCGGCTGAGGAAGGCTTGCTCTTCTTTCTGCGTGTGTGCAGCCAGCACCTGCTTGGTAAGCCCCAGTCGCTTGTAGGGCTCCTTCTCTTGGGTGGGCAGGGACACGATGCTGACAGGCAGGGGTGGGGGTGCAGGACTCTCTGCCACATCCTCTATAATCTCTGTGGAAGGAAACAGAGGCATAAACATCGGTCAAGCAAAATAATGTATACAAGTAAACACAGGATGCTTTTATAGGTCTGTTTCAATATCACATCTTTAAAATAAGTGGACTTCAACACTCACCCGACTCTGGCACAGGCTTCTTGTCTCCCACGTGGACGATGGTGCTGCTGTAGCTGCACTGCGAGGTGATGGACACCACGCTCTCAGCCTTGCTGGGCAGTGTGAGGGGAGCCAGGGGGCCGCCCACCACAGCAGCAGCTCCAGATGGAGGCTTCTTGGGTACTTTCATGTTCGATAGACCTGGCTGAGTTTCAAGCATCAAAGGGTCTGGATTGGGAGAGAAACATCCAGTTAACTTCAAGATCATAGGTTACTACAGTCTTATTAAATATGTCAATAACTTGAGGGATGTGTTTTAGTAAGATTTTGACAATGCAAAGAGAGATGGGATCTAACATCATCCTCAGTGTGTAAGATATGCATGTGTTACATTTTGTGTACATGCCTGAGTTTGCATCCTGAGGCCCTTGCATGCCGTCTTCTAAGCCCTTGTCTTCATCTGAGTTGAAAGAGGAGGTGTTGGAGGAGAACTGGTACTTTCTCTTCACCGTGATGGGGATGTTACAACTCTCAAGGTACCTGAGAAACACGAATGAGTTTAATCAGAGAGTTCACGCTTCACACACTTTTAAAGGTTACCCTTCATAAACCAAAGCAGCGGCCCTCACCTGATGACACTGTCGAGGCAGCTGATCTGCTGGTACGAGTGCATGGTCTGGTCCTTACAGGGGAAGTCTTCAATGGTGGCTACAGTACTGTCTCTAGCCTGCAGAGGGGGCGCTGAGTCCTTGTGACGAACTGCTGAACTCTTCTGAGCTGCAACAGCAGCTGGAGGGCAAAGACGAAAAGAGAAACTTCAGAAACACACACACAGGTAGACAGACAGATAACAGACGGAGCTGAATTCAAATATCAGCCTTGTTTACTTTGTTCTGTTTTATATAAGACATTTTATATGAACTTCCCCTTAGTGAGTAGAAAGCGAATAATTGAAGCCATCTTCCTATCTGTTCTGGACTACGGGGATGTCATCATTAGACACAGTTTATCACTCCGCCCTCAGATTTATCACTGGTGACAAATATTCCACTCATCATTGCATCCTGTACGATAAAGTTGACTGGCCTTCACTAACAGTTAGACGTGAACGGCATTGGCTGCTATTTATTTATAAATCACTTGCGGGTAATCTACCAGCATACATCACTTATTTATTAATCTGGGCTGATAATCAGTATCAGACTCGATCAAGTGACTGGCTAATGTTAACGGTTCCACATGTAAAAACGAACTTTGGGAAAACATCCTTCACCTATTGTGCTGCACACACCTGGAACACATTAAAACTCAATACCATGGTTACCATGGGTCAATTTAAAAACTTGATCACAGCTCACTGTACTCATGAGTGTAAATGTTATTAACTGTAGTTACATGCTTACTGCTTATTCTTCTGGTCTTATAATCTATGTATTTTGTCTTCATTGTCTCTTATTCGTTTTAATTGTACTCTCGACGTCATTGTAAATGAGGGCTTACCCTCAATGATTTCTCGAGAATAAATAAAGGTAAAATTAAATGAAAAAATATTCATGTAGCCTATACCTGCAGCATGTACATGGCGCATGTGATAACTTACACTAGTTATGGGTGCAACCCTTGTGTTATAGCCCTGAGTCTAACCCTAGTATCACGGTATTTAACTGTACTCACTGTCAGCGGTCTTTTTCAGCTCAGGCTTGGACGGTGATGGTATGGGCGAAGAGTAAGGGGAGTGCAGGCAGACCTGGGAGTCCTGGTTCTTCAGCATGTGGACCCCTTTACAAATCTCCTGGAATGTCCTGGGAGGTTTGGCCTTGCCCGTCTCCTCCGCTGTCTTCCGCGCCGTGTCTTTCCCGTTGCTGTCGCTGGATGAACCGATGCTAACCAGCTGTTCATGGGAACCATTGCTGCCGTGGCTACCGTAACCGCTGGAGCCCACGTTGTGGACCGGCTGCAGAGAGAGAAGGTCGTTATGTTAACAGTCAAATGTATGTGTGTGTGTGTGTGTGTGTGTGTGTATCTATTAAAGTAGAGGTATAGTGTGTGTCTGTGTGTACATACTTGGAGCAGCAGCCTGTGAATCTGTTCACTAATTTCCTGGATGTCCGAGTCCATGATCTTCCCTCCATGGAAAGCTGGTGCAGCAAAAACGTCTTCATTCACAGGGCCCCTGAAACACACACACACACACACACACGCCTGTCATCTTCCATGTTCAAAGTAACATCTGTTCAAAGACTGACTCATCACATTGGGACACTTACATGCGGACTTTGTGCCTGCCGATGACAAAGGAGACCTTGCGGCTCCAGGGGTTGACAAAACTGGACCAGCTGGTGTCGATGGTGATGTACTCGCCATTTTTTGCACAGAAGCGGATCGAGGAGTGATCGAATGGCTGACCAGCGTACTGCAGAACTGTTGGCAACAGGGGAAAGAGTACATTTTAGAGACTTCATGCTTCAGTCATTGCACCAGGCTTGTGTCTACATTTTAAACATCATTTACAGTTTACAAAAGATCTCCACTCTTGTACAAAGCTGGTTGCAAACAAATCAGTGGCGAGCGGGTGGGCGGCGCCCTAGTGCCCTCTACTGGCCAGCCACCACTAATAGAAATAGAAAACCTCGCAAAAATCCAACTAAGGGATTGAAAGGGGTTCTTACTCCTGCGATGAACAGCCAGCATCAGGGGTCGGTCACTTGGGTGCAGATTGAGTAACACAGGGACCCCGATCAGGTCCTGAGGGAGGTAACCCAACAGAGGAACAGCCCTGATGGAGGAACAACATCAACGTGTTAAGAGGAAAAAAAGAAACTCAATAAACTGAATATTATTGTGGTTCTGACAGGGAATCTCCTGGAGCTCAGATTTTTGTTTTATACCACAGGAGCAAACTGCAACATATCAACAAAGAAGACGCACTCACCTCTCATCCACATCCTGGAACACACAGTTAGGTGTGTGTGTTGTGGTGAAGATGCGCTTGTCAGGAGGGATTCTGGGCGCTGTTGAGAGAAAACGAGATCAACATCAGATTGGCCAATAATAGAAAAGCTATTATAATCGCTTTATTTAAATGTGATCAATAGAAATAAAAGCTACAGAGTCTGTGGGTAACATGTTTGAGGGAGGAGATGGTGATGAGTGCAGGCCTCACCTTCATATCCAGAGTGCACTCTTTCGGCCAGCAGGAGGCAGCAGAACTGTTCCTCACCCAGCTCGGCATCCTGGACTTTCATCAGGTAAGGAGTCATGCGGAACGGATAGTACTGGATATTCCCTTCATGCTCCTTTCCACCACTGCAGAACAAACAGAGCATGATTTTCAGTCACTGTTTCATACTAAAAGGCTGCTACACTAAGATGCTTTGCCTAACCATAACCCTAAGACTTTGCATATTGAGTAGAGTACAGCTACTGAATATTTTATAACTGAGATCTGATCATGTGAAATGATATTTAACTGTAGCTGCAATGCCCTATCTAGCCACTAGGTGGCGAAACCATTGCAAAGCTCACAGCTGCTGACTTCCTCCCTCCTCTCACATTCTCTGTGCTGACTCAGAGCTAGTTTGAGCAGGAAACTATGAATCACAGAAGCTGCCGTTCACTGTCACTCACCTGATGCGGCAGAAGAAGGACTTCTCCTGCATGCACTCCGTGGGAGACGACTCTGAATAAGAGACCAAAAGAAGGTGGTCACCAAATGCATGAGATTGAATACTTCCAAAGCACCCATCTGTTAGTCATCCATGTTCAACATGCTGTGAACAGGACCGGAGAAAGTCAGTCTCTCTTCTGATTACAGGAAGTGTTTAATAAAAGCAGGAGAGGCCATGCAGAGTTTACTACAATGATGCAACTGTTTGTGTTTTAACTGTGACAAACATTCATAGAGAAACAGGTTTTAATAAAAATACAGCTGCTCAGAGATTCCTGCCACTCTGACACAGCCAGTCTGAAAACAGCTCCCACATGCAAGAACTGTAAACTGTTCAGGATCTACCACAGCATCCAAAGTGCTCTGACAACAGAGGAGCCTCGTAGGGAGTGTGAACAGCCATGAACAGCTCAAACACGCTATGTCAGCAAAAACCTCAATAAATGATAAATGACAGGATCAGCTGCAGAGCATGTGCAGGAGACGTGCATCACATGAGTGGGTGTATGTTAGTGAATGTGTGATTGAGCATGTTAATGTAATAGGTGCTAGGTGTGTATAAGCATGTGTTTGAGGGGGTGGGTCATATGTAGGAAGTAGGGGCATGTGTGTGCTGCAGGTGCAGATTAGGGTTTCATGTGTCCTCCCCATGTGTCCTCCCCATGTGCCCTGTCTGGGTGATGGAGACAGTCGTTACCTGTTCCAGTGCACATGCTCCATGAGGGCAGGCGGTAGGGCGTGGTGAAGCTGTAGAACACGCTGACGTCCTGCGGTGTCAGGAACTCCACGAACTTGGCGTTGTTGAACACTTCCCGTTTGCAGTTCAAGATGGTCGCCGCCTGGTCCGAAATGTAAACAATCTTCCCGGTGATGAGCGAGACGGCCACGGCGAATATATCCTGCACATCCGAGGACCAAAAGAAGAACTTTGAGTTTGTGACACGTCATCCAGCCACTCACAGCATCCCTCTACTCACAGATGAATGTATCTCCTCCTTTGTCCCGGGGTACTTACAGTGTTTTTGAGCGTGTACTCAGAGGTAATGCTGTTGATTTCCTCGATGGTGTACGAGGAAACATCAAACCCTGGCGGCTGACTGTCGTTAATCATCAGCATCTGGTAGTATTCCTCATTGGCTGCAAAATGCACACATCATTTCAGCTGCAGAATGAGAAGAGTTTTCTTTGCACATCAACATCAGAGATTTGAGTTTCAGTTTTCAAACTCCAAGTCACAGACTTTAAGTTCAAGTTTGACTTTTTGTTCAGCATCTGAAAACACTCCCGTTTACTTTGAACTTTAACCGTCCTCAATATCTCTGATGTTTACTAACAACAATGTAAACACATGAACAAATGTGCATTAAAAAATCGAAATGGTTCTTACCTTTCACTTGTTTGACGCACCGCAGCGCATACTTGAGCGTGTTGACGGTGCTGGATTTGCCCTTGCTCCTCTTTTCCGATGGTAGGTGCATCTTGAGATCCTTTAGGGTCTTGAAGACCTCCTTCTGTGTCTTCGCTTTGGCCGACTGTTCGCTGCTGCAGGGCGAGCATGAGACAGATACACGTGTGTCAAAATAACAAGGTCTCACCATCGCTTTCACAATCTGGAGGAGCGAGGCCTTCCAGAACAGAGAGCAGAACAGGAGGGGGGAAGCTAACGTGCTAACCAGCTAACCAGTGTGTAAGGGGGTGAGGGGGCTACATGTAACCCTGGCCTAACTTTTCAGATCTTTGTACCTTTGCATGCATGTAAAAAAAAAAACCTGCAACAAACTCTAACTCTCTGAAGAGAAATAACTGAGTCCTCTACTGTTTTCATTTAAATCAAGAAGAGAAGAATTTACGAACCTGCAGCCGCTGGTTGAAGGGTTGTCCTGCTCCGAGCTCACCAGGCTGAAGGCGTTGGAGCTGCTGGGCGGCGACGGGCTGTGAGAGTTTGAGCTGTAACCATAAACAACATGTTGTGTCACTGAAGATGTACAGAGAGACCGACAGAGAGGAACATTGTGACAGCACAGTTAGAGCGCCAAAACAAAAGCTGAGACCAAACACAGGAAGTCAAGGACTTCTATGATGTTTCCTAAACATCAACACACCATCTGTAGCACCCCCTCCCCCCACCCCCTTGGATAAATACGGCTATAAAAATATGGACAACAGCTAGCAGGTGCAAAACAGAAAGGTTCAACATTTACTTCTTTGTGTTTGAAAATAAGAGGCACAGAGAGTTCATGAAAAGCATGTCAGGACAGCTCAAGGCGACGGAAGAATAGGAAACCAGATTAGAACGTACAAGTTTAAAGTTCTGAGCAACAAAACAAGTCCAACATGTGTTCTTCAAATCAGGAAACTGAAGGTGAGGCATGAAGCCTCCTCCATGTCTTCACTCACTTTACTTCATTTCTAACTCCTTGAACCTTGACAGAGATTTGCAGGGGGACTTAACCAAGGAACCCCCCTTTAAATCATGTAAATGGAGGTCGTCATCTCACATAATGTCGGCTTCTCATGATGACAGCTGACTTGAACTGCTCTTTTATACCTTTTTGTTGCACTTTAGAGTTTTCTTTCACACTAATCGGGAATGCACCGACGCACAAATACGACTGCAAGGGTGCAACAGTGTTTCCTGTTGTTCACTGAGTCATCCAGGTCCTGGTAAATCCAACCTGGAGCCAAAGGCACCTGGATTAAAGATCTCTTCTTCTGAGTCCAGTTGCCTTTGGATCATGCTTTGTTTGACCCTTTAGAAGAAGTTCATCTTTAAAATAATTGATTCAAAAATAGAGCAAGGCAGGCAACGTTAGGGGCCCGCTCGTCTTGTTTTGTGCCAGGAAACAAGCTTAACTAAAAATAATGTGCTTTACAGCTAACGCCCTAAGAAGGCATTTATCCGCTCGGCCATTTATCTGCTGCAGTCAAACGGCATCAGGAGTTTGAAGCCGTCAAACTGAAGCTGGTGGCCCACGTCCTACTTTTGATTCTCCTGAAGGATCACAAGTGTGTCAAGTTCCTTAGCTGTGTGTGTGTCTGCACATTCCTGCATCAATCAATGAGACAGCAACAGGCCGGCTCAGCGGTGTACAGCAGAGTCCACGCAGGGCGGCGCCGTTTAGATAAGTGTTGTAGTATTTCACACTCGAACTCATGTAGAAGAAGAACGACTCGAGTTTAAAGCCCGTCAATTGATGCGCCACTTTGTGGTGAGGAGTACTCAGCTGACCTCCAAAACAGGAGCTACATTTTATTTAGAGAGCGAAAGGGCGGCGTCTTTAGCCCTCATCACGTTACAGATCGAGCTGCCATATTTACGCCTCTGTGACGTTTGGCCTTCCATGTGAGTGTTGCAGAAGCCTAATAGGGGGGACGAAGGGATCCCACCTCTGTACCGTCTTTGGATTTAGTAACAGAGGTTCCTCACCGCTGTCCTCAGTCTGATTCACTCAACAATGACTCACATAGGAGAAAATGGCCCTTCCATTACATTTAATGAACCTTACGTCCGCGACCTAGATGGTCTGCTGCCCCATTGTGTTGTGGAAAAAAAATCTTCATTAACCACGATTGGGTGCGTTTGGTGAGTCTCACCTCTTGTTGCTTTCGGATGACTCCATGAGAGCCGAGTCCTTTCCATTGCCGTTGGAGCTGCCCACGGACTCATTGCCATGCGACTCATTGCCATGCGACTCGTTTCCATGGGATTCTGTCCCGCTCCCGCTCGAGCCGCTGCCACCCATCTCTACATCCTCATGTAAAGGGGGGCGCGGTCGCTTCCTGTCATCATGCGGGGAGCCCGGTGAGGCCGAGTGCTCGTGGCTGCTGTCGCTCCCCTCGGAGGCATGTCCCAACTCGGCCTCCAGTTCGGCCCCATCCTGCTGGCCACAACCCTCGCTGTAACTGCTCGCCATTCTGTGAAGTTGTCTGATGGAGCTGCAGGGAGAGTGCTCCTCTTCCTCCGCCTGGTAGCCGATCCTGTCCCGGTTCCGTTCGCGCCCCTCCAGGGTTGAGTACAGGTAGTGATTTGGGTCACTGTCCTCAGACATGGGACGAGTCGAAGGGCAGAATATGGGAGATTAAGTTACCTTCCACATGGCACTGCCATGAAGTGCATGGCACCAGGAGGTAAATGGAGTTGATCCCTCTTGGTGGGGGTGCAGTCTAAAGAAGCGAAGAAAGAAAAAACACAGGCACTTAGCAAAACCATTTATAATACAGTGCACTTCTATTTAAAGCAGATCTCTAGTGAAACAATCAATAGAAATGGATGCATTAAAGCATGAACATTACAGCAGCCTGGGTCTCAGCACTCGGAAAGCCAGTGATGAAGAAGCGGGCACTGCAGGACAGAGAAAGTCATCATGTTGTTGTGTACTTATACTTACACACACAACTACACAAACACACAATCACAGCGGTCAGCCTCCGTCAAAAGGTCTGCACAGTAAATAGGCCAGCGTTTGCCCTTTCCAGGCGGACTAAAGCCTCAGACCGGTGTGATCTGGTTGAATCTTTCAAAAGAGCTTTTTCACATGAAAGGAGCGTCTGCAGAGATGAAAACACAGCTCTGACGGCGAGACACCAACAAAGGACTTCATCCAGACCGGCACAGACCAACAGGAGCGACTGCTGCATCCCTTTACCTTTTATCCACTTTATCATTCAAGATGACACAAACGTGTAATTTAACAACACCGGAGAACGCCGTGGCAGATTTCATTTATTATAGACGTCACATGTGGGGATCAAATCTATTCAATGTGAACTGGAGTGGACTTTATTTAGTCCAGCTCCCAGTACTCAACGACTCTGTTTGATATCTTTATTTACTGAATCCCCCCCAAAAAAAGTGTTATTAAGAAGCTTTATTTAAAGTCTTGAGGATTATTATCTTCAAGAGAAACTTATTATGGAAGGTCCAAATAAAAATAGAGAGGGACGATTATTGATGTTATCCTTAAAGTAATATTATTTGATTTCTTCTGTTGTTGTCTTACTGTCGAGGTCGACGACCTGAAATAAAGTAGGAAATATTTAGACGTTGATATGTATGTTTGTGTGTGATTGTTTACGTGTAATAAAAACATCAAGATGACACATTTGAATAATAATCATAGTTCCCTTCTCATCCTCGGCTGCCCGGCTGTTTGTGGATTATCTAATAAACTCCCTGAGGAGAACACGGCTCGTCCTCATAAACAGCCTCATTATCATTACTGCCACACAAACAGGTGATAAGACATGTCAGTGCACTCTCCATGGTCATTTAAATATTTAAAACACAGCCGGTATTATGATCATCCAAACTGGTAACACAGGACGGAGTTTCACAAGCAGAAACTATACATCAGAAAAATGCTTAATGGACTTTTCTAGTCTCCTCAGAGCGCTTTCACACCTTCACATTCACACACTGATGGTAGAGGCTGCTGTGTAAAGTGACCATCAGTGTAAACTATTACATGCACACACTGCCCGACGACACAGTAGGAGCAACTCGGGGTTAAATGTGATGCCCAAGGACAGATCGGACATGTGACTGCAGGAGCTGGGGATCGAACCCTCAACCTTCTGGTGGATGACGGACTCTACCACTGAGCCACAGCCGCCCCTGTAACAAGAATAACTGTTCTTAACCACTCTATCCTCCTCCTTTAGAGCAGCAACAGTTGGTGCTATTTATGTCCCTTAAATCCAAATTAAGAAACACTGGAAACGAGCTCAGCAGCCAAATCCAAAGTATTTCATTGTTTCCCTGCCATCCAATCCAACATGAGTATTTATGTAAGAGTGTAAACTGGGCTGCTGGTCTATTCTTCTCCCTTTACATAAGCTATTTTACATAACTCTTCACTCTTTTAAAGAAATTTGAGAGATTTGATGTGTAGCAGAAGTTTCATTCACTCACACACCCGCCGACACCTTATAAAATGACCCACTCCCAAGTGAAACCGAGGACACGGCCAAGCCCTGAGACGGGACTTCGTATTGGCTGCTGCAGTGTCCAATCAGAGGAGAGCAGGGAATGACAACAGTTCAGAGTGATGTCAGCCGAGAAGGAGGAAGTTAGGGTCTGACAGCAGGTTAAAAACATGTCAAAAGAAACAATTAAAGGCTTCTGTTTTTTCCTGCAGGAGAAGAGCAAAACTTCACGAATGGTTTGTTGAAACAGGACTACATCAAACTAAATCATACAGTGACAAAGTGACCAATGAATGAACAGGGAAGTTACTCAGTATTACTCAGACAGAAGCACATTAAGGGCAATATTAGACGCCACAAAAGACACAAATCTAAACTGAGCTGAACTGCAAAATCATTGAAAACACAAACGATCTGCTGCTGCGTGAAGAGCGTCATAGTACAGTCAAATATTCAACACTTTGATGAAAGGAAAAAACATGATAACTCTGAACACAAACCCAGACCAAGCATCCCAATCATTAAAAGCATGTCCTGTGTGTATCTCTGTGTTTTCACAGAGCATGCAGAGTGAACATGAGCTTACCAGAGACTCCTTCCTTCACGCGCAGCAATAAACAGTCCAGCAGGCAAAAAAATAAAAAAATAGGCTACTGTACTAAATCTTCAAAAAGTGTCCGAGAAGTGATCACACACACAAACACAGGTCTGTGAGAAGTGACGAGCGGAATGACATAATAATGAAAGTCCCTCTGCTCAGCACTGCCTCAGTCAGAGCACTGAATCACACAACACACTAGCACAGATCTCAGGCATTATACAATGCTGCTGCTCCAGTCACATGGATTAGGCTACACAGCGCAGTACAAACCAGTGGTAGCCCTGTTTCATAAAACCACATGCTTTCACCAGCAGGCCTATCCAACACACTCTTATGAAGTGACACATCTTCTGTGAAATGTGACACACACATTACATGAGAGATTTAGACTTTCTAACGCAGCTGAGAGAATCACGATCTACACAATGAGCTAAATCACAGGGTGAGACATAAAGCAAGGGTTGCCTGGAGAGGATCAGAAGACATGCAGAGAGTGTAATGAAGGAGTAATGAGTGGGTTTATTCTCACTTCTTCTCCAGTACATTACAATGACATACAGCAGGCAGGGAGTTACATCACCGTGCCTGCACTGAAGTTATTCCATTATTTAGACCTCACCAACCATGGCAGGAGGACTAACATGAAGTCAAATGTTTCATTAACATCTAAAAATGGTTCTTTGTGTCGTTTTGTAAAACAACATGAGCCACATTTAATCTGTTTGTGTTTGTTTTAAGTAAACTCCCAGCGTTGCCCATATATCCTCAATACTTAGTTATCAGAATCAGCTCCATGTCTCTATCTCAGGTTATCTATTTGAAATGTCTTGCTTGATATTCACATTAAAGGAGAACTTAACAGCAGTGTAATGTGATTATCATGTCGACCTGGCAGCTACAGGTAGACTCCAGTGTGCAGACACGAAGTCCTGCAGTGATAGTTAAAGTTATACTGTTATTAATGACATTAAGGAGTAGATATGGAGACTTAGAGAGCATGTTATAGGTTATATGTGGGGGGGGAAGCACATCAAATGTTGCCTCTATCCTCTCTGAGTCCTAACATCGGGATTAAAAACGGAATAAAAGCTTAATTTTATCACAATGACTGTGTTTTTTTTCACATGTTGATAATGTTACAAACTGTAAAGGTTATTTAAATAGTGCATGTATTTAAAGCATATTATGTCATCAGTAGTTAAACATCCCTCCCCCCCTTTAACTCCCACTGACCTGCTATTCACAATCCTCACACACGTTGACCTGCAATCCAGTGCACGGTACACTGACACAGTTATGTAAAAGTAACGAGATCGTTTCAAACACGGGGAGAAAAACACGGACACCCAGCTGCCGAGGGGCCGCTTCACCAACGGAGACCATTTCCCTACCCCAAGAGTGACAAATAAAACCACAAACCAGCTTATTTTGTTATAAAAGTACAAGTAGAGCAGGCGGGGATTTGGCGCATGCGCACATCGGATTCAGTTATGCAATTTATTTTTTTTCCGCTCGTTTATCCTCTCTTTCTTTAACTAAAGCTTGAAATAAAGCGAAACCAACCTTTGGAGCAGAAGGAACAATCCACTATCCAGTCGTCCTCGTTGTCAAGCAGAAGGAAAATGGACGAGAGGGTGAAACAGTCGGTAAGCGTCCAGCAGCGTTCAGACGGGTTGACACAGTAGTGAATGGGTCCTCCCCGGCTCTCTCCACTAACTTCTAACCAGCAAATCGGCGAGCTCTGCGCTCGACCTCAATTCAGGCTCCTCCCCGTGCCTTTCCCAATTGGCTTAAATCTGCGGGTTTCCATGGAGAACGTGACGCATTTGTGACAACAGAAGCCCATTGGTCCAGAGCGCTGTCCGTCTTTTTACATAAACAAGCCATCCCCTGCACGTGGAATTCCATGTTGCATGAACCGTGGAGTGTGAGACCGGGTAGTTACGACCACGCATAGGGCAAAACATCGTATTAAGTGTGGAAATTACATAAATGCAAAAGTCCGAGGAAACAATCAGGAAACGATGGACTAAGTCAAAATATCGGTTTCAAATCCTGTAACGTCAGCTCTGATGAAGGAGCCATGTCGACGGAAATGTGGAATCTGTAGCAATTAAAAATGTTTTATTTGTCATTTTTAGATGTGGCGTCCCTTTAGCCTACGTTGATTCATTCATTCATTCATATCAGGGTATGATTTCCAACACAGTAACACAGCATATACTTGTTTCTTGAAATACTTTGACTCAGTCCATGAACAAAAAGCAGCAAGAAGCAGAAAAAGAAGACGATAGCAACAACCACAACACATCCACGTTGAAGTGTCTAGCAGGGGCGTGTCCAGACGGGATGGCCCACCAAGGGCTCCGACTCATGCAGGGGTGCAATGAAGTTTGTGGCTACACACACACACGCAAATTAATTTCATTTATTTACCCTCTCCATCACCAGAATCAGAATCGGGTTTTATTGCCAAGTACAGTCACACATAGGCCTACAAGGAATTTGACTTGGTGTATTGGTGCTAAACAATTAACAAGGAAATAAATCAGAACTAGCAACAACTTAAATGATACATTAAAAGAAGCTATTACAATATATAAAATAGAATTTAAAAATATAAAAAATAAAAAACACAAAGTACAAAAGGTGCAATGTAGGAGCTGTGTAGTGGACTATGAGAAAACATCTTACAGTGTATGTAACCTACTCACAAAGTGCATGTAAAGAAAATACATTTAAAGTTCAGTGGGCATTAATGTAACGCATAAAGAACAGTTCAGCATTCACATTACTTTCATGTTTTTCTGACTGTGGGGCTGATGAGAGTCTGGGTTATGTGGGAGGAGGGGGGAGGGCAGGGACATTGTTCATGAGGCTGACAGCAGAGGGGAAGAAGCTGTTCTTGTGGCGAGAGGTTTTGGTCTTGATGGACCGCAGTCTCTTACCAGAGGGGAGAGTCTCAAACAGTCCATGTGCTGGGTGAGAGGGGTCGGCCACAATCTTACCTGCACGCCTCAGGGTCCTGGAGGTGTACAGGTCGTGGAGAAATGGTGGATTGCAGCCAATCACCTTCTCTGCAGAGCAGATGATGCAGACCGTGATGGAAGAGGAGAGGATGGACTCGATGATGGCAGTGTAGAAGTGAACTATCATGGTCTTTGGCAGGTTGAACTTCTTCAGCTGTGGCAGGAAGAACATCCTCTGCTGTCCTTTCTTGATGAGTGAGGTGATGTTCAGCTCCCACTTGAGGTCCTGGGTGATGATGGTACCCAGGAAGCAGAAAGACTCCACAGTAGACAGTGTTTTCGTTGCACCAGGTCACCAGACGGTCTGCCTCCCACCTGTAGGCAGACTCATCCCCACCAGAGATGAGTCCAGTGAGGGTGGTGTCGTCTCTTGACAGACTGATGACTGGAGGTACAGCTGTCGGTGTACAGGAAGAAGAGCAGAGGAGAAAGAACGCAGCCTTGAGGGGAGCCAGTGCTGCAGGTGGACTCAGGCACGTTCAGCTGGGAGAGCTTGTCCTGGAGCAGAGCCGTGATTATAGTATTGAAAGCAGAGCTGAAATCCACAAACAGGATCCTGGCGTAGGATCCTCCTGCGTCCAGATGCTTGAGGATGAGGTGGAGGGCCACGTTGACAGCATCATTCACAGATCAAGGCTAGCGGGGAATCATGGGAGGGATTCTCTCTGTCCTTCCCCAAACTCCCAATGACCTCCGAGCTGACCGTAGTCAAGACGAACAGGTGAGTCCGACCTGAGGAAGAGAATATATTTACCGACGATAAATTACGTGAGGTTTTAATCACAGCAGCACATACAGCAACAGTACGGCAGCTTTCAGGAGCAGCATTTGATAACTGTTGGAAATATTTGAGGTAATGTAAGTACTCGACAAACATTACAAAGGTTTAGTGTATTTTTAACTGATAACTGAAAAAATAATTGCATGCAAACTCTTGTGCGCTGTCTAATTTGCAACAATACATTTATTTGCAGGAACGTCCTTTGACAGGTTTGACAGTTTGCAGCAGTTCTTGCTTGGACATTTTTATTGAAAGTGCAAAGTATTCATTTACAACTGAAAGTACTTAGTCAATAAATATATGCCTACTACATTCACATGTAACAAAATCTACCAGCAGCCTGTTAAAAAAAAAAAAAAACACCAGAATAGATTTCAAGTTAAGGAAAATAGCCAATCATAGATTTGGATTTTGGGGTAGCACCTGGAGAGACTAATGAGATGTCAATGTGGGCCTATACCCCCCCCTCTGGACACGTCCCTGCTGACTCCAGAAAGAGACCTTGATACTATTTCTTATGTGTAAAGTTCACAGACTTTACATAAGTTATATATCTGGAAGTGAGGGGTTGTTGAGGTAGCCTATAATGAGACATATTTCTTCATTAACTGTGTCTCATCTTCTTTGAACTGCAGATTGTGATTATTCCACATGATGTTGTTGACGCCACAACACCACATCCTGCCTACAGTCGCCCTAGAATAGCTCAGTGCATTCATGTAAATGCACTCTGAGTAATAAGTGTCAGTCTGAAGCGGCTGCAGCAATATCCCTGCTGAGTCGACTCCTCGGGACTCCCCGCAGTCTGTGTGTGTGTCCACTCAGCAGAACATGTGAGAACCGAGTCTGTCACACACGGCCTCTGAATGACATCACACTGAGAGCCCAATGCGGTGAAAGGTTGGATTGTTGGCTCTCTTTTCCCAAGTATCCAAGGAAGCCTTTCCAAAGATCCCAATGCACAAAAAACAAACATGTTGCAGTCACAACAGAAAATCCTTAACACACCCAAAAACTGTCTGACTAGAGATGAATATACAGATCCTCTAATTAAACACACACACAGTCTCATTTAATTGGCTGGTTGTGGAAGCATCCTGGGAGATCTTACAGGTGGGTGAAACTCCCTAAAAACCTGGAATCACAATGTGGTTGGTGTCCTCTGCAAAGCCCTGAAGCTTTGACCAGTGGTCAAGATTATCTAACCAGATATCCTTTACACTGAACCACATATGTTCCTGTGATAGTCTTGCCACTGAAGACATGATTAGTACATACAGGTGATATAACAACATTTATTTGAAGGGTGGCAGCAACACTTATGTGCTTGGTGATTTCAAAAGTGTTCGTATTTGTGTATGCAGTAATGGTGAAAGTACTCATATTACCTTAAACAGAGAATTAGAGCCTCCATTCATCCTTTATCTAGACCACTTTCCAGTTCTGGGTCGAGGGGGGGTTTGGAGCCATACACTCACACTCACACCTACGGGCAATTTTAGAGTCAGCAGTTAACCTAATGATCATGTCTTTGGACTGCGGGAGGAAGCCGGAGTACCCAGAGAGAACCCACACATGCACGGTGAGAACATGCAAACTCCACACAGAAAGGATCCTGTCAGATGGGGATTCGAACCAGGCACCTCGCAGTGCACCACCGTGCAGCCCATAATAAGTGCAGTGATTCCCAAAATGTGAGCCGCAGCCCACTGTGTTCTGAATTAGATGCACCACTGTGTTATATTAATCCCACTAACCTTAAATATGTATTTACCTAAATGTAAGACCTCCAAAGATGTGAATAAACTGAGAGCCAATACAGCAAGGTCAGTTATGTTTATGGGCTGACATAAAGTGTACAGCACCATTTTAATGCATTTCCAAAATCCTTTCCAAAAGTGTCTTTCTAGAGCCCAGGCCTAGCATACACAAAGTTTACGAGCTTCATTTAGCGTTAAGTGTGTGTGGCACACTGAAAGTGGGGCAGCATCAAATATGTGTAAGCTGAGGTTAAGGGAGTGGAAAACAGTGTCAGGGATGCATCAGTGGAAGACCAAAATGAAGTAGCGCCAGTTAAGTGCTCTGTCATGGAACATCTGTGTGATGGATGCAGTATTCATTGTGTTCAAAATGAGGAACATCCGCCACCTGTTTCACACAGGAAAAAGGATGGATGTGGAAGGAGCACAGATGACATAAGAGACTGCGATGGATTAAAGGGACGCTCACTTGTTAGGTATATGCACACTCCTCCATGTAGCCATGTTTATTGACCGTCCTTTTCACTTAGCTTGATGTTTTATTTTCAGATTACTTCTCAATATTTCCCGCTGTTTTTCACTCCCTCTACAGTCTGTATGGGATATCTGCTATGAACCTTCCTCTTACCAGGTTATTGAGTTATGTAACACACACACACACACACACACACACACACACACACACACACACACACACACACACACACACACACACACACACACACACACACACACACACACACACACACACACACACACACACACACACACACACACACACACACACACACACACACACACACACACACACACACACACACACACAGCAGCCAATTTACAGTGAGCAACAATTGTCAGTAATTTAGAATCGAAATAAAGGAAGGTAGAGACTGTTAACACTTCTCAGTGGTGAAAAGAAAAGTGTTTTCTGAGTCATACAAAAAGGAGCATTTTAGTGAACCTCAGCCTGCACACAAAAGGAGCATCGTCAAGATGAGGAAGTGAGCGTCTCAAAGATCCCCTGCAACCCTTTCATTTCAGTTAAGAGCTAGTTCACAACAGGCAAGTACAGGAACACACACTGTCTCCTGTAAAGTAAACACTCCAGAACAATTCACTCTGCTTAAATCAGCGCACACTGTGTACCTGAAGAAGTGAACATGAACTGTTTTTGATGCTTCGTTTTCTGCCTTTATTGGAGAGACAGGACAGTGGATGGAGTTGGAGATCAGGGAGAGTGGAGAATAACATGCAGGAAGGGAGGACGTTTGGAGGACTATAGCCTTCATATGGGGCGCACACACTAACCACTGTACCCTGATGCTTCATTGTTTTTGCTATTTACTTAACTTTACTTAATTATTTGACTAAGGTGTTTATGTTTGAAAGGTTCTGGCACAACTAGCTAAAGGTGTAGTGTGTATCAAGAGGCCTAATCCCCACCTCAGCGCCAACTTTTTATCCTTTACTAGGTTAACCTAAAGTAAGTTCGACACATTTTCAATATAGCGACCATGTTATAGATCACATGTACCTTTTTTAACCATTTTAAATAAGTCTCAGAGTTCCCTAAAACATGTGTGTGAAGTTTCTTGTTCTAAATCCACTCTGATCCTGTATTTGATCATGTCTATAAACCCATCTATTTCAGCCCTGCTCAGAACAGGCTGTTTCTGTGTCTGTACCTTTAAATGTAAATGAGCTGTGTCTGACCACTCAGAGGGCAAAAGAAACACCTAGCTGTGGGAGTGTCACCCACCTGGGGGAGGGGTTACTGCCCTTTGTGATGTCATGAAGGGAAAATCTCCAAACGGCCTGTTTGAGCACATATTTTCTGAAAAGTGGAGCAGGCAAAAGACGGAGAGGGTGGACTTTTCTCATCATTGGGGGGTTTGTAGACAGACTAGAGACACATACTAGAGTTAGAGGAACATGGTGCATTTTGCATTATATTTGACCTTTAAGTTGTGTTTTGATTTGGTGGTTTGTTCAGCTATTATCTTAACCCTCATGCAGGGATAAGTAGAGTTTATCTATACCACAAAAAAACTGCATTCTGCAGGAGAATGCCCTGACTGCGCAATTTCAATCAGAAAAAGTCGATTGTTTGGAGAAGTAAATATTAACAGCGGCATTGTCACTCCAGAACACCCTCTGTTAATCCCACCACTCCAGATTCATCGATATCGCATCGACTACAAGATTTTACTCGTCACCTTTAAGGCCGTCCATAACCTCGCTCCTCTGTACCTCTGAAGTCCTGCACATAACACACCCACCCGCACTGTCAGGTCTTCTCCTTCCATTCATCTCACTGCACCACCTGATTCGTCCGTCCGTCCGTTTTTTCATACTTTGACTTCTTCATTCAGCAGGAAACATTTGCCCGTTCGTTCTGCTCCCCCCCCGGGATGCAGTCACTCAATACACATGTACAACAATCACGCTGAGTGCAGGCAGACATGTAGCGCGGTGGAAAATAACTTTAATACAACTCCTATGAAAACAAAAACAGCAAAACAATAAAAGCCTGTACATTTGACAATATCCAGTGTCTAAGACGTTTGAAGGCGAGTGGTGCGATGTGGCGCTGCAGCACAGAAACACCGACAGAGAAAAAAAAAACCATTATAGGCTTCGGCCCGGGCCGTAGGTTTTATATAATAGGATATGGTTCATATACTCGGATATTGCACAAAAATGAATCACAGATGAGAGGCGCCCTCTGTGTCGGAAAAATAGGAAGTAGCTTTGCATCGCAGTGTAATGTCCATTAGGATAAACCCCGCCCACACAGGTCCAAGGCTCCACCCACACCTGCTTGTATAAAAACAAATACACTTATAAAGGAGAGCTACACGATTTCACATTCAGTTCAAAAACAGAGAATTAAAACCACAGTATGAACAAGACAATGAGTACAGACGGGCTTTAGGTTTTGGTCCTGTCGAGATAAAAGCATCGGGGGTCAGAGATTTTAGACTTTAAGAGACCTCACAGGTGACGACGCACTGAGGCCGATAATTCACTTGATTTGAAAAATGAACAAAGAGACGAAGCACTCTGCGAGTTTAAAATGAAATAAAAATGAAGTGTTTAGTTAAAAGACAACTTGAAATTTCACGTAGACGTCTTTTTGAAAACATTCCAGTGTTCGATGGTCCGAATGATTCAAACGCCCGACCGACAGGCTCAGGACGTTTCTTCCTCTAACTGCAGCTCCTCTTTCATCATAGTTTCTCTGTGGGCGAATAAAGTAGTCTGGCACATAAACATCTGGTAATAAATTCTTAAAATGGCAAAATTAAAAAAAAAAGTAGGGTCTTAAAAAATACAATCTTCCTGCAGTTTTGAGGCACGCTTAGAGGCAGCGGTGGAGAGACTGTTAAGACGCACTTCCTGTGGGCGTTGTGCACATTGTTTTCAGAAATTGTTTCAGAAAAGTTTTTTTCAATTCCGCCCTCTCCACTTCCCTCTCATATCTCCACTGACCTAACAGCAGTGGAGGGGCGTAGTCACACCTCAACCCGCCTCAGAGTCCAGTTCTGTCTGTCCGACAAAGTTCAACTGATCCAGAACAGGATCTGTGATGTCAGCTCGCTCCTCAGGGGGGCCAGCCATCTTTAGTGTGGGCAGACTGGGTGCTTCAGTTCCCCTTCCTTTGACTGTGCGCTCTTATCTGCTGTTGTGCCTGTGCAAAACTTGCAATGATTTTAACCCACCATGATTCCAACGAAATGTCACACACCATGAATCCGGATTTTCAGGACGCACCATGCCGGAGTGATGCAAGGCGAGGAGGAAATCAGAAATTAAGGATGCAGGCCTGTGTGGAGAGTAGGTACGATACACAGGGCTGATTCTGCTGTTTTTGGATATTCTGCTTATGTTTGATATTTCCCTTCTTTAACCCGGGTGGCTGTTGCTCTGTTTCCTCGCCACACCTTTTCTTCCCTCGCTCCCCGCACACACACTCCTTCTCCGTGTCCCCTCGGCCCCTGACCCCCCCCCCAGCTTTAAGGGGTCTCAGCTGCTCTACGAGCGGTTGTCTTTGGCCACATTGTGGGCCATCCAATTGACTTTGGTTGTCCAGCTCTCTCTCAGGGCCTCGTCAAACTTCTGCCTGAACTGCTTCAGCGCCTCCTCGTCCGTTTTACCCAACGCCAGAGAGTCCTGAGGAGAGACACATTGAGGGAGAGGAGGAGGGTTAGCTGCTTTAAGGGGGGAGTTGAAGAATTTGAGAGCAATGTATGCAAAATGTTGATATTTTGAGGTTGGTAAAAAATGTGTATGTGTGTGTCCTCCTGTGTATGTGTTGTTCTGTGTTTGTGTTCTCCTCTGTGTGTTGTTCTGTGTTTGTGTTCTCCTCTGTGTGTGTGTACCTTTAAGTACTGGATGTCCTTGACTGAGGTGAGTTCAGGTAGTCCAGCGGTCAGCATGAGGGCGAACAGCGTGATGAAGAGGTTTCCATTCTTCCTCAAGATGAGATAGGCCTCCTCGCAGTACTGACGGAAACTACCACACACACACACACAATTACTCATGATGTAAACAGTACATCATCAACAGGTATTCCAGTACACGATGTTGTTCACTTGTGAAGTTTGCTTTCAGGGAAATTAAAACCATCATCCTCTTTCAACACGCTGTAAAGAGGTCAGAAGAAGTGAAAAAAAAACGAGGTTATCACCACCGGCTCCTGAAAGGTGACACACAAACACTTCATGTTTTAAGACTCTCATGAGGTCGATTTAAAGTTCTCATTAAAAAGCTCTGAGGCTCAAGAACAGTACGTAAAGTTTTCTGCAAAAAAAAAAAAAAAAGCCACAAAGTCAGTAAAGCTGCAGTCATGTTCTCTGCGTTGTTCTCCTTTGTGCTGCGACTCGATGACCTCGCTTCTCGTAAACAAAGTGTCGCATTACAACGTGGTGACTTACGTATACTATAAGAGGTAACTGTGCTCAGGTTTGGTCGGGCCTCGAGTAATGTGAGTGCAGGTCATTGGGGGACTGGGGAAGGGGTGCAATAGAGCTCCAGCACGGGGTCAGTATTAAAACAACAACAGCAGCATGATGGGAACTGCAGAGGATATTAAGCTGATTTTTATTCAACACTTCCTCTTTCCCGATGACGCCTCAGAGGACCAGATGCTCACCCGACTGTTCTTGTTGAATAACCGGAGAGACAAACATCATTGCCTTGGCTTCTACTGCACTCTGCTGGCGGGAGAGGATACTGCAACGACTCAAACAAGCTGTGTTCTGTCCAATCAAAGGCTTGTTTGTGCTGCTACGTAGGAAACACAAAGTTCTTCTGCTTTTTTCCTGACCGTCATTTGGTTCTACATGTTTTCTAGTCTTTTAGAGAACACCTAAAGAACGCCTTTTGCTGTCAAAACGATGAAGGATGATTCACAAGGTTATTTATCACCCGGAGGCATAGACAAAACAAAACAGATGCTGCATATTTTAATTTACTTAATTTTGACAAACATTGAATTCAAAACTGTGTAAAGATGAGATCTTGATATAATTTATTAACATTTGACTTCAGATGAGATGTTTTCAAATTCAGGTTTGTTGCAGATTATGCTCATTTCACTTCTACAGATTTGTGCTGATTTAGTCCAGTGTCTTTTTTTCTGAGCACTCCACCTTTTTTATGCAGTCGCTCCGAGTGCATAAACTGAAAATATTTCATTTTTTCAGAAAGGCACGGGTGACGTCACCAGCGCTCTTTTCCAAATGTATGATATTCCCCGTAGTTTTGCCGCCTACAGATCGTGTCTTGTACCCACATCTTCCTCGCTCCGTTTCTGATCAGAAAATAAACAACCTCAAATATAAAACATTCAGTAAAAAGTAATGGAGCAGTGTCGGTCATTCAGCGACCGTTGTCGACAGACTGTTGTCATAGAGCTTTTCTTCTCAGCACACAAACACAGCAAGGAAGTAACAGTAGGTGGACACGGGGCCTTCATGATTAAAAACTTGATAACTTTTAGAAGAAGTTTGAGAGGAACAAACCTGCCAAATTTCTCCGTGTATCCCGTCTTGCCCTGCTGTATGACGTGGATGAAGTCGTGCGTGAGGATAAACGGCACGCGCTCCCTCTTGATGCCGAACTTGGACTTGAAGTTTCCCAGGATGTGACCAAAGTCTATGTGGAAGAGCTGACGGACGAAAAAGAGCCAATCAGTGAGCAGCATGAAACAAACAGAGGCTGAGTAATGAGCCGGGTGACTCACCTGTCCCGTGCTGCGGACCATGATGTTGTCGCTGTGGCGGTCTCCGATCCCCAGGACGTAGGTGGCGACGCAGTAACCTGCGCAGGACAGCGTGAACTCCTCGATGACTCGCTCAAGAGTATCGCTGTGAGACAAAAAGACCAAAATGAGCTCATCGATCACTACCGCCGCTAACACCTCGTTAATCAATGAATCAAGCTTTATTTAAAAGCTGAGTTTTTACAGCAACGCAAAACATAACACCTCCATGTACAGAGGCTGTAATCCCCCAAGCGGTCAGCCCCGGGCTCGAACCCGACATGTGACTTCTTCTTCGCTGCATGTTCTTCCCCCTGCGCTCTCTCTCTCTGATTCTATGCTCTGTCCTATCTCTAAATAAAGGCATCAAAAGCCCAAAAAAACCTTTTAAACCTAAAGTAATGAACTGATCAAATCCGACATAAAAGACTGATTTCATTGTTTTTAGTTTCGTTTTAAATGTATTCATATTCTCAGCTCCTCCTGCAGACGGGCCAGCTTCTCGGAGCCTCACCAAACGTCTTTGTTCTGATGTGGTACAGCAGAAGAACTGTTCTCCGTAGTCCAGCCTCAATCCTGGATCAGGATGATCCTGGTTTATTGGATCAAAGTAATCCTCATCCTACTAAAAAGCTAGAACAACACAAACTGAAGATTTGATCCAGAAGAAAAAGGCTGTGTTCGGAAACCAGGAAACAACATGCGAGAAAGAAGCCACAGGTCGGACCCAAACCCGGGCCGCCTGCCTGGAGGACCTGAGCCTCCACACATGGGGCGCGTGCCACAACCACTGCGCCACCAGCGCCCTACTTCTGGGGACTTTTTGAAGAGGAACTATCCACCAGGGCGTTCCCTGATAACTAGACACCATAGGTACTTCTTTCTGTTTGTAGTCACACTGCCATGGTACCTAATCTGAAGCAGGAGCTACAAAGGTTCCTCTAAACCAAGTTCTAGGAACTAAAATAGTTCATAGTTACTGTGGTGCAGAATCAATAAAAAAGGGGAGGGTTCCAACAGTTCCTAGAACTATGAAAAAGTTCCTGCGGTCTGAAAGCAGCTTTTGTTTTTTCTGTTTCACACCAACCATGCTCTGATGTTTATTATCAGCTTGTCTGAGGCTACAGATCAATGTACTGTTGAGTTCATATATAGTATTCTATACGACCAGTGTGCCTCTGCAGTAGACTCTGCAGTACTCCAGTATTTAAGGAGTGAGCAGCACCTGAACTCACCTGGAGTTTCTCTCCTTCAGCCAGTTGAGTAAGGCGTCTTTGTTGAAGGCAGCAGCTGCGGCTACGTTGCTGCTGGTCAGCTGGATGTTTGCGATTGTGTCTGCCGATGACACGACCTCGATCAGCCCCGCTCGGTCCCCTGTCGCTAGGCAACCATACGGAACGATCCTGAGAGAGAGAGAGAGAGAGAGAGAGAGAGAGAAGACAAAGGGCTTAATGCGACTGATTTTAAACATTGTGAACGTATGCACCCTGATCTTAAAATGTGAATGAAAAATGACCAAAACAAGAGCTAAAAGTCGCTGTAACACTGGTAGTGTTAATACAGCTTTGTGCGTGTCGTAGTCGATCCTGCTCAGTGTTGGACATGAATGAGATTAACGTATCAAGCTGTGGTTAATCTGAAAGTTCACTCATATCAAACTCCTGTCAGAGAGTAAACAACATGCTGCTGTTTACCCTGAGACGAGACGGCACAGATGGAACCATAAGGGGAAAACATTAGATGATTATGGGATGGGCATGTGGAGCAGACAGATGATAGCGTTTCCTCTTCTTTCACATTGTTTGTCCTTCTCTTCTTCAAGTCTTCACTTTGCAGGATGTAGAAAAATAAGATGACTCTGACAAATGTTCCACAGGAAGCTTCCTTCTCTGCTCAAATGTACTAACACGGTGCACCCAAGACTTTTAATCAAGCAGCTAAGATGGTTCAGTCAAAGAGACTCCATGTGTATTTTGTTTGCATTTTATTTTAAGTCTAGAGACAAAACATCGCCAAGGTAACGGGGTGAGTGATGAGTTTCAGGCAGCTGATGAGTGATGATCTGAGCATTTTGAAAATCGAGAAATCCCAGACGCAACTCACATCCACCACATCATAAAGGTTTCAATACATCGTCCCTTTCTTCATTCCTAATATATGTGATCGACCTGTGAACCGGCGTCCTTTGTAATGTGACGCACCGTCTCCGAGCTCAACTGTCAAAACAACCCCCGACACCGCTCAGCTCCAGATGTGTCAGAGTATGACCAAGAGGAACAGACGGTTTGTAGACGTCCAAGAGTGTGGATTTGATTAGGATGCAACACCTGTGTGTGTGTGTGTGTGTGTGTGTGTGTGTGTGTGTGTGTGTGTGAGAAAAGCTAGGGTGTAAAAGGGTCAGAGGTCAAACTAGTGTGTCCTCTCCTCTGCTGCAGCCCGGCGGAGCTTCCTCTTCCCCACCGAGAGCAGGAACAAATAAGCTCGACAAAGTCTTTCTGGTACAAACACACACAAAGAGAGAGATAGAGAGAGAGAGAGAGAGAGCGAGAGAGCGAGAGAGAGCGAGAGCGAGAGGACCCTGCCCCACGGGCAGGTTGTAATCGCTGTTAAACTTTATGTTTTATATTAAATTAATCGAGCCTGACCGATAAATCAGCCGGCCGATAATATCAGCCGATATCGGTATTGGCTGATTTGATCTCTGATACGTGCCGATATGCAATGAGGTTTATTAAATTTAAGTTTATTTATTTTCATAATTGAACTAACTGTAAAAAAAAAAGTTATCTTAATTATAAATCTTTACACAAGTGTTTGATAACAGCAACAATCGGAGTGTACATCTATATCTATCTCTTTAAGCCAAAGATACATCGGCCGGTAAATCGGTGTCTGATTTTATCAGCCCCAAAATTTCATATCTGTCGGGCCCTACAAAATAATCCCCCTTTTTTTGGAGATTGCAGTTCTGCCCATTCCTTTTTTTGCCCCCCGGGTCACTCCGCTCAACTTTGCAGGTTAACATTTTCGAACATGCACTTTCTGTTGAAGCAAAACTCAGAAATTCAACATCGACGTCAAACCTTCAGTCAGAGTTGCCGTTTGATCCATTTTATATAAACATGATTATAGACTTTGGTTTAGCTGCTCTAGACGGACAAACTCACCGAAGGTCCAGGTTAGCCTCCTTCCATAGCAGATCCATTAACCTCAAAATCTGGAGGGTCAACATGTCCTGCCTCAGGTCTGGGGAGAGAAAATAAGTAGAAAAGAGGAATGTTTCCTTTACTTTGTGGAGTAAATTTAACTTAAAGGTGGTTTTGAATAACTTTTCATCCTTCATACCAAACCTTCCCTTCCCATCCCCTCCCCACTTTTGAGCCCTCCTACCATCTCCGTTCTTGAAGATGATCCCCAGGCTGTCTCCGCCCAGCAGCTTGTTGTTGTAAACAATCCAGAGCGGCTTCATCTTAGAGTCCATGTACCGACACTTCTCCACACTGATGGATGAACCAGAGAAAGGGGAAAATGAAGACGTCTGACAGAGATAAAAAGTTCAGCATGATACTCTGATCTGAGCGCTGTCGCCTCACTTGATGCCTGACAGCAGGATGTTGGGGTTCAGAGGGGAGTGCAGGTCTGACAGAGTCTCTGAGTAACCGCTCTGCCTTAAACAAGTCATCATGGCCTCCTTGGTCAACATGGCCTCCTTGGTTTTACTGCGAGCGTTCTTGATGGTTCCCAGCTTGATTAGCTCGTTCACTGACTTTAGCTTACTCAGGGCTTCCACCTGAAACCACCACAACAACAAAAAGAACGATTAAAACATGAAAATATTTATTCCTTAAAAACACGCTGTCAGCATTGTGATCCCAAACACGTGTGCACATTCTTCCAAACAGGGAAGTGGCTCAGATAAATATCTGCGTTGAAGAGGAAGCATGAGGAAGTGTCGAGAGGACTGACTGTCAGGATCTGCAGAGGGTTCAGGTTTAAGGGTCGGAGGGGGACTCTAAAAATAACAGAAATCTAGTTCCTGCAGGGGTTGACAAAACAATTCAGCTATTCTATTCAGTCAGAAAAAGAGTTAAAGTCTGACGCGATAAATACATGAATGGGACATAATGCATGTTTGGTCCAGTTGTTTGAGAGTAATTTGATCGGACTAGTTATTGGGTTAAGGCCCTGACACACCAAGGAGATCGCCGTCTGTCTGTCCTAGTTGGACCGTCGGTGAGCGGTCTTCGTCCTAATTTTTGCGTGTGTGCTCCGTCGCTACCCGTCCGCCTTTTTTTGGGCCGATTCGACATGTTGAATCAGTGTCTGCGGTCAGTTAGAGGAATCTCTCTGATTGGCTGTTTGGAGGTTTCATTTATCGCCAGCTCTCTTCTTTTCTTTTTCCACTAAAAGATCAAGGGCTGACAACGGCAGCGCCATTTTCAACTTTTTATCAGACATTATTCTCCATTAGTAGACTACCTATAATCGAGTGGTGAGCGACATCGGTGTGAAAATGGTCTTCTCGTATCATAACAACAGACTACCGCCCCCTGCTGGCATGGAGAGTTATTTCCTCTCACGGATGCTCAGAACGTACGTGATGGTTGGCCGTCAGCTGTAGTCTTTGTGGTGTGTTCAAGTGCAACTTTTTGGACAAGAAGTGAGGCGACGCCACAGTTGGCCTTCGTCGCCACTAGTTCTTTGCCGTCTGCTTTGTGTGTCAGGGTCTTTGAACTGCTTTCTACCTTCAACTCTGCTCTGTGGTGTGTCTCACAGACAGACTGTACCGCTCTAATTAAACTGCAAGTGACCTACCTGTTTTTTTAGGACCTCAATATGAGGGATGCTGCCTCGACAGTAGGCCTCCAGAATGAGGGCAAACTGCACTGAAACAGCAGGCATGTGGATCTCTGACCTGTAGAGGGCGGGGGAATACAACAAGTCAGAGGAGGAATCTCTGAGGACTCAACTATTGTCCTTTACATACGCATGTGTGTGTGTGTGTGTGTGTGTGTGTGTGTGTGTGTGTGTGTGTGTGTGTGTGTGTGTGTGTGTGTGTGTGTGTGTGTGTGTGTGTGTGTGTGTGTGTGTGTGTAGCTCACCGTAGATGCCAGAAGAGGAAGTGTCCAATCTTGCGGTTCCCCTGAGCACGCTTCAGCAGGAAGTGGGTGAGGGCGCAGTCATAGTAGGGCTCATAACGCAACACCTGCACCAACTGTAGCAAATACTGCGACAGCTCCTCATCACTAGAGAGGAGAGAGAGAGAGGACGATGGAGAGGTTTTTATAGCTACAGATACTTATACTAAAACTCCTGTGAGGACTCTAAATCTCATCCTGCTTTCTTTAAAACAGTCAAACACAATGATCATTGTTAGGACTTCTCTGGGTAAATATTAAAGGACGCTGTTTAGGCGGTAAGCTGTTAATCATCTACTGTTAATCGTCTGATACCAACCCGGCAGCAGCTTTTATTTGCCTTTATTTTAGAGATAGACAGAGGACAGAGTCAGATATCAGGGAGGGGGAGAGAGAGAGAAAGTGTAATGACCTGCAGGAAAGGAGACACAGGTCGGAATCAAACCCGGGATGCCTGCTTGGACGACTATAGCCTCCGTACATGGGGCTCGCTCACTAACCACTAGCCTACCGATGTCTTCAAACACTTTTAATACCTGCTTTTTTCCTCTAAATCGTCGGCTGTGCCCATACACTGGTGGGCCCAATATATTAGTATAAACTGCTCAGGCGCTGTCATGACTCAGTGCTGCAGCCGCTACCATCACACATTGTACTCGACCTGACACGGTTGAAAATTCAACCCCTCCCCTTTCATTGTGTACTGCAAGCTGTTCTGGGATACACAGAGCAGGCTGGCAGCGCCACTTTTTAACATCTTTTCTACGTCTTGAGGTCGTAATCCTGCAGGTTTACTGATCAGTGCATAAAGCGTGTGGAGCGCTGATTGAAAAACTCTTCAATAAGTCATCGAGTGACCATCGGAGGTGAGCAGCACGACTTGCAGACTGTCGATCAGTACTTCACAACTTTTTTCCGTACGCTGAGAGATCAACTAACGTACTGTAGCTAGAAGAAGTGCAAACAGACGGTACCAAAAAAGCGACAGAGCTGCACAGAAATTGACCGTTGTGGACTTGGCTAACAAAGGAAATCATCATGTAGGACGACAGTTTACACCTTTTTTTCTCTCTGGGACACCCCGAAAAATAAACTGCATCTTATATATACCAGTTTAGACGGGATATGGAACTTGCTGATTGTCTCTTTTGCTTTTGTAGTCGATAAAGATGCACCAGTATTAATTCCAGTATGTTTCACAACCAGTAACAAACGACTCACAGGAGATTTGACTTGTGCACTGAATCATATCTGATAAATACAAACTGGAAGGAGGAAGGGGGATGTGACAACATGTGCATCGGGTGATATAAATGTAGAAGTTTGAATATAAGAGAAAGAAAACAGAAAGAAGACCGTGTGTTATAAAACAATGTCGGTGTGGGGGGATAGATGAGTTCACCTCATGTCCCGCAGACAGCCCACAGCGTATTCTCGGACATACTGGTCGGGGTAGTTGAAGTCCAGGAGCTCCAGAGCATCTCTGGGACACAGTTTGGGCCAGATCTGAAGGAGCGCCTGCAGCTGAGATCGACATACAGACACAGAGAGAATCAGAACATGGTGCACATTTATCAGAGACAGAATGTATAAAGCTCTGTGAATGAAAGGTTTCAGACATGTTATGGATAAGGCTGCACATTCTCCCTTGGCATATTATTAACAGCAGAGAAGGTGTAAAGGTAATACTTTAGGATCAGATTTCTGTGCTGCTGCACTGAAGTTAACGCCCCAGGTGTCTGCCTGTCACAGGTGTTTGTTTGCTGCCTGCTGTGATTGAGCAGTCGCTGCTTTTCAAACAGAACTCTGTCTGCAGGCTGCAAAAGCATCTGTCCACGAGAGACATGAAGGCTCCATCTAGACACATTTTCTGTGTCAAAAGGAGGTTAATTCATGTGCACAATTGTGTCATGTTTATCTATAACAAGTCAGCAATGTTTAAAAAATGTGGACAGAGGAGGACTTAAAGTCTGATCCTGAGGGAAATTTAAGGCTATAAAAACTTTTTTTATCTCCTTCTTGATGGATGTTAAAACATCAAAACCATCATCTGTGCCAAAGGTCAGCGGAAACCAGTACAAACATTCATCTAAGAGGTCATAGTGTTACATTTTGAGACAACGTTAAACTACATGGGCTGTTTGTACGGAGACATGAATAAGTGTTTATATGAGTGACAGAAGGTTTGAAAAAGAACCGTTATGAACTTTTAAAACGGGTTCAATTCAAAGAATATCACCTGCTTGAAAGACATTTCTCTAACAAATGAGTCCCATTAAAACAATTTTAGATTTAGAAGTCTTAGGACCTGATCACTGATGTAGCTCTCTTTCTGGATGATGTTCTCTGCTCCAGTGTTTTTTTGGGAGTGCATAAAAGTAAAAAATCAAATCAAGTAGGATTTACCTCCTTACCCCTTTATTACTTTTTCCCCTCCTTATTTAGGAGAGAATCAACGACGAGAGCTCTACAATTGCTTGAATCTAATTTTTCCCCACTTATTTTATTCACCTGGACAGACACTGTTGCAGCCTGCAGACAGAATAATGTTTGAAAAGCAGCGCCTGCTCAATCACAGCACGCAGCAAACAAACACCTGTGACAGGCAGACACCTGGGGCGTTAAATTCAGTGCATTAACACAGACATCTGATCCTAAAGTATTACTCCACAGGCGCATTGGATGAAGCGTCTCTGGGTGATCGGCCCTTAAAGCATCACATGGAGAGGAGAGGTTTATCTACAAAATCTTACTGTAACTGTTCTCATACTGTAAAGTACACCGTAGGGAATTAAACTTCTGCATAGCCTGTGAACATGTAAGAAATATTGAACTTGTTTTCATCTTTAATTTCCAAAGTTGTATTAAGGGCTGATTCAACACATCAAACTCTGGTCTACCTGGGCCATGTCCTCGTGTTTGCTCCACTTGACGGAGAGCAGCAGCTTTGGCAACGACTGCGGGAAATTCTCCCAGCAGTCGTAGCGTAGTGTCCAGATCAGGTCCTTCTCGTTTTCACACAGCTGAGAGAGCGGGTCACGCTCCATGATCTCCTTCAGCTCTATGTGGAACTTCTTACCGCCACGACCCTGATAGAAGCACGGAGAGGAGGGAACTAAAGTCAGATGATGTTGGGAAGTTTGAGACAGAAAAGAGCGAGGAGATGTGGGGGAGAGAAACGGGGAGATGTGTGGACGAGAGAAAACTGAAGAGTGCAGTTACTAAAGGACTCTGATGGTGAGTAGCAGGAAAGAACCACAAGATGGCAGGAGTGTATCAGACATCCGGCTTTTTCTCTACCTTCACTGAAGTTAATCAAAATTCAAACTAAGGACCAACATCTTCAACTTGTCTCTGCTGGCAGCTCGCATGCTGCCTGACATATGAGCTTTAAGTAGACAACAATAATAAATCTAACAGAGAGTGAAGGATGTGTCGAAATAAAAACATCAGCTCACTTTAACATTCGAGGAAATAAGTGGAGCATTTCACCTCATGCACATGAAAATAAACCTGAAGTTGTAGCTGTATCTGATCCATGGTTTCCTGACACACACCCACATTAAAAGGGCTGCGCTCAGACATGCCCTCTACATAACACAGGGTTACATAACCCGCTGTAACACACCTAGAGACGTGTTTGTATCTGAGGGGCTGTCACAGGAGAACACACAATCATCTGATGAGCGTCTTGCTACTGTCAAAGGGGACTGAAATGTTTGTGCAGCTTCACTCTGTCAGAGTGGAAACAAAGGATTCTCCAGGAACCTGTCAGCGTGTGCATGTGGGGGGGGGGGGGGGGGCGCAGATATTCCTCACAGCCCGACTTCAAACAAACACGCAAACACGCCTGTTTGCAATAATCTCTGTGATCTGTACGTCTACTCACCATGGGTGCACAGTCGCTCGCTCTGGCAATCTGTGCAGCTTTTTCCAGTATCTGTAGAAAAAAACAGCACTGTATGAACACATTCATAAAGCACTTTTTTAAACACACGTGCAAAGCACAAAGGACAGGTGGACAAGCACACACACCAACATAAATATCATAAACCAGCACGTATTCAAACACAGACACAAGTAAAACTCACAGACAGACAGAACTTATTAAAATGCTGACATATAAAAAAACGAGTTTTTAATTAGCCGTTTTAAAGAAACTACAGATTCAGTAGACCTAACGTTATGGGGAAAACCTTTAAGGAAACACACGATCACCGCTGGATTTAAAATATGAACGAGGAAGTGTTAACGGCCCTGATCAGAAGATCAGCAAAGGTGGCTGCTAGATTAAGGACACAGTGGTTCAGTAATGTATGTAAGGGCCAGGCCCTGCAGGGCTTTGTATGTAATGAAGAACACTTTGAATCCTAGAGTGAAGTGAAAGCCGATGAAGGGAAAGCAAGACTCATGCACTCGTACAGAGCATTAGTGAGGCGGAGCACGTCCTGATCCCCTCATGCTAACAGCCACCACTTCATCATAATCACGCACCATTATGAAGAGCACCGAGCGACTGCCATGACAAACTGCAGTCAGGTCTGTTTGTGAAAAGGCCTCATCAAAGCGTTTCATATCGGGCTAAGTCTACAGATAGTAATGTCAGAATCCTTTCAGACCGATCGTGTTTGAATCCATGCCAGCAGAAAAGACAGATTCAAGCTCGCTGCCGCGTCCAGATAGTGGCTAGAAGGGATGTGAGACGGACTGTGAGCTGTCTGACCTTATCGAAGGAGGGAAGATGATGGGGTGTGACGAGTACTCGGGGAAGTGGATGTGCAGGGCTGTAGCGTTCTCGGTGTATGGGTTGGTCTGAATGGTTCCTATGGGGTTCAGCATCTCTTCAAGTTCGTCTGGAAGAAAAACAAAAACAGGGTAACTGTGAGGCTGCACATCACTGGAGAAGCTAAATTAGCCCTAGTTACCATGGTAGCTACATGAAAAGTAAGCATTGGTGTTTTCTCACATGGATAAAACTCCTCAAAATCTCAGGATGAGCTGCATGTGCGGATGAGTACAGGCATATTTTTCCCGCACTTTCTCCTGCCTGCCTCATAGAACATTGTTTGCATAAAGTCGGGGTGATCCGATGTGGCAAAGCAGCAGAAACTTTCAGGAAAATTCTCCGCGAGCAGGTGGGATGATGATGTTTATATCACACATCTGGTGCGCAATAGGTGCATCTGTGCAAGTAATAAAGCTGCTCCAATCTTTTAACTTTATTCCTTTCCTTTGTTTGTTCATTCTGTGAATACGTCCAATAAGCATGACATTTAACAATATCGGCCGATGTTAGCATATCACATGACTTTCGGCATGACCTAATTTAAGGTAGAGATTAGAAAGATATCGGCCGATATATCGGCATCAGGTTTAAATTCGGTATCGGCCCCAAAAATCCGATATCGGTTGATCCCATAAAAAGAAGTAGCTGATATGAGGGCAAAAAGATACCGTTACAGTTTCAGACTCTTATCAGCTTGGATGTCCACAGCATCTCTTTTACGTTGTGTCCTCCCTGTTAACACCCCCCGCCCCTCCCTCATCTGACAAGGCAAACTTCCCGCTATAAGGGATATGTGTGAATGAGACATTTCAGGGATATGTTGTCCTGAATTGTTTGTGAATTTCCAGGAGTGCATGTGTGAAAACAGCTCCTGAGTGTTAGTCTGTGTGTACCAGGAAAGGAGGACCAGCAGTGCAGGATGATGTGTCCGATCTTGAGCTGGCCTTTGTAGTCAAACACCATGGTGTTGACCCAGGCTATGGGGTAGTGCTGGTTCACAAAGAGAGAGAAGAAGTTAAATTACTAATCAGTCTATGACATCATAAAGATGCTGTCTTCATTTGACCCACTGCCACCTGCAGAGAGTAAACAGCTTCTTACCACTTTCCCTGCTTTGCGGATGGTCTGGTATTTGTTTATGTGAGCGTTTTTGGTTGACTTCTGCTTCTTGACTTTATCCATGACGGCGTAGATGGCAAAGCAGAGGCGGGTCATGCGCGGCAGGTCGCAGACGGAGATGTCAAACTCCAGCGTGCTGTCCTTCCACGTGTGGTCCGAGCGCCCGTTGCTCTCGCTGCTCACCGCTGGCTTGCACAGCAGTTCCGTGCCATGGAAGAGCCCCGCCCTCACCTGGACCTGAGTGGGAGGGCAAATAAGAGGTCAAGTAACACTGTAGTGTCATACTTTATATACTACAAGCCTGTTTAGTACAGCCCTTAAAAAGGTAGAAGTAAATATGAATGGACTTGAGCTTGTAGCACTTTTCTAGTCTTCTGATCACTCAAAGCGTTTTTACCCCGTAGGTCACACCTACACATTCACACACTGATGGTAGAGGCTGCTGTGTAAAGAGTCCATCAGGAGTAACTTATCCCATTCATATACCAACGAAGCAGCGGGCGCAACTTGGGGTTAAGTGTCTTGCCTGAGGACACATCGGACATGTGGCTGCTGGGGATCAAACCCCTGACCTTTAGCTTAGGAAGCGACCGACTCGACCAACTGAGTCATAGTCATAAACTCACAGTACTCTGTAATCTGTAAAATCCCCTCCACAAATGTGAAACAGTTTAAATGATATCTGAGATGATCATACCTGAAGTGAAGTGTTTAAATAAAACACGAGGCATCTCAGACTAAAGAAAAACTGACTGACAAAGCCAACGCGTTCCTATCGTAAATGTGAACTGTGTGGGAGATGTGGGTGTCTGTGTGCAAAGTTGATTAACAGAACACAAACAACTGTTTTATGGACAGCAGCAGGCTCACCTTGGCAGTCTCCTCGGCGTTCACTTTGCTGCCTGTTACCAAGACTATCTTAAACGGGCTAGACACGCCCCACACACACGTCTGTACCTGCTGCAGCGGGAAAGTGAGAGGAGAGAGAGAGAGACACTTAAGTGAGCAATATCAGCATAATGCACTGTGAAAATATGTACTCCTACACACACTGCTTCTTCATTTCCACCACTCCCCTGCATGCGCACACACACACACACACACACACACACACACACACACACACACACACACACACAGGCAGGTCAGTCTGATGTCAAGCCAAGTGGATTTGCGAGGGTCAGCAGTCAGCAGGAAAAACAGCATCACATGACCTGTGGAGTGTATGAACATGACTAACTAGCACACTTCCTGCTGTTTGTTGCCTCCGTCTTTGTGTGTGTGTGATTTGCCTTCTTGTCAGGAAAGAGACTATATTTGTGTCAGCCTCTTCCATACAAGAAGAACCAGGAGTTTTCTATAAAGTGTCATTTCTTAAAAACAAACCCATCCTTGTGTTCTATTTTGGTTTTGTGTTGAGCAATTATCAGTCCGGCTTCCTCCAGCACAGCAGTGACGTGTCGATAACAGGCTCCTCTCCTGAAAATAAATCTATGCTCCAGTCGCAGACACCCAAACTGCTGTGGTGACATTATAACAGCCTTACGAGAATCTCTGTCTGCGTCTGTCTACTTTAATGACCCACCCATTGCACCTCACTGGTATGCAATTCATTTGACAATCTAAAAATACTTTCACTTTGCTCAGAACAGACTGTTTCTGTGTCTTTACCTTTAAATGTAAATGAGCTGTGTCTGACCACACCCCCTCTCTGGAAGGGCTTGGGTGTCTTGGGCTTTCTCGCTCCATGTCCTATTGTTTACTGTAAGAAGGCAGACTGAGAGGGCAGAACAAACACCTAGCTGTGGGAGTGTCACCCACCTGGGGGAGGAGTTACTGCCCAAACAGCCTGTTTGAGCACACATTTTCTGAAAAGTGGAGCAGGCGGAAGACGGAGAGGATGGACTTTCTCATCTTTGGGGGGTTTGTAGACAGACTAGGGACACATGTTAGTGTTAGAGAAACAGTGCAGTGTATTTTACAGAATATGTGACCTTTAAACGTATCCCAAAAATGTGCCAAGTGTTTTGTAGTTAGCGTCTGGTCTTACTGGAAACCAAGACAAATGTTAATCATGATGGAGGACACGTTATGAAATAATCACTGTTGTGATTTTATGTGATAATATAGTGTGGTATCGTTTCATAAGATGATTGGAATCCGTTATTAATTTGGAGACTTTCACATCACCGGGCACTACAGTAAGCATGGCAGCAGGCAATTAAAACCCCGGGAGACACGCTAACAGAAGCCAATTAAATTCAACCTGACATTTAGCATACAAGGAGTGATGTCACTGTGCACCTGGCAGCAGCGAGGAGCAACAGCGAGGAGCTGGCCATATTTTGTGACAACCTGGCAGAATACTCCTCCTCCACACTCTGAACACGGCCTCATAAAGGACAGGTGGCAGCTGCAGATAACTTGTTTGCTAGGTAAACCGCAGCAACCTGCTTCCTTCAGCAGGTGAATCATTGTGAACATAGACTCAGTAAACATACAGATATATTCCAGTAAGTGCTTTTTATCTGGAATACATGAAACTTCCTCAGTATTTTTAAATGCAAATAAACACAGAGGAGGAAGTTAAACACGACACTTACCGGCACTAACCTCAACAGTTTCAAAAACAGTTGAAGAATGCAACTCAAGCATAACCAAGTATTGTTTTGACTGCACTCAGTAAAGAAGGAGTCATGCCTGCTCCACTTTGCAGAAAATGTGCTCAAACAAACCAATTGGCATGTTTTTGAAGTGTTTGTTGGTTGGTTGTAATACTTTTCTTGGCCATCGGAGTCTGAAGCACACCACCACTACCGAACACTAACACGTTCTATATCCGACTAAAAGCATTCATGCTGGATTGAAATGAAACTTATAAACTATTTGTACCCCCTTTAAGCACATTTTCCCGATCTTCCACCCAATCGACTAACTCACCAATGCTTTTTGCAGATGCAGGACCAACTTTGGTCACAGCAAGGGCCACATTCATTTAATCCTCACTGCGAGGGGGCCAAATTGTAGTACACAAAAATCAATGATGTCTCAAATTTAACTCAACATATGCCAGTGCTCAAATATTATTATGGACATATTTCTGGTTTTCATGATTTCATGGCAGATTTTCTCATGTTTTCTTCATGTTTCCAAATAATTGATATTTAAAAACTGACCTGAGGGCCACATTGATGGGGGCCGCATGTGGCCCCCGGGCCACCAGTTGTCCACCCCTGTCCTAGATGCTATTTTCTTTCTCAACTCCCCCGTAAATGTTGAAAAGGCCAAAATAACCCGCTACAAAACAGAAGTGAAAAAGCACATTCACACAGCTTCACGAGCAAGCAGACTGACCGTGGGAACTCTTCTCTTGGGAGGTAGTGGTAAAGGTGGGTTGGAGGACTTGCGGCTAACCACAGCTCCGATGGCGGAGATTTCCTTGTCAAACATGGCCTTGACGGTGCTGGTGTGGACCAGGGTGAGGTGTGGAGGCTCCTTGGCTTGCAAGCACGTGCGGATGTACTACAAACAAAACAGGACAGCAAATCTTTTGAATGAATGTGCATATCAGTGCCACACACACATCAAAGATCCGCTTAATACTGTAACTCTGTATGCTGAAGCTGGGCTTGTTGACTTAGATACAAACATCTTTATGTAAGGCTCAAACACAAACAGTTCAGTGTGCAAATACAGGACTGTGTGAGAACTGAGTGCTTTTAGAAAGTTAGCTGAGCAGCTCAAACTGTTCAACGGAAAAACATTGAGAGCAAGAAAGACACTGAATGTACAACACTTATTTGTTTGTATTTACTGGAGATTCATGTTTACAAATCTCTGAGCTTACTACAGAGACTTGCCAGCATGCTAGTGTTTGCTTCTCCTGATTTGAACACAACCTGCAGAATAAACCATCATCTGGCTGTTCTTCTTCTTTTATGTCTTTAGCACTTTAGTCTCTCTCTTCTGAAACTGAACACTGACAAAATGCCACATGTCGCTCCACTCACAGCGGAGGTTGATCATGAAGTCGTTTGCAGAATATGGCTTTCCTTCATATTTACACACACGGCCATAATGTTGGTTGCATGTTTGTTTCTAAAACCCCAAAGAAGATGAATAAATGAACGGATGAATGAAACCTTCATTGCCCCTCGGGGGAATGTGCCTCACACCGAGAGCATGAAAACACAATTCAAAAAGACGTCGAAACCATTCACAGGACAGCTCATAAAAACAAAACCATCAAACTATCACATGTAGGGATTTCAATTGCAAGTTCAAAACAGTGCAGAGTGCTGACTTCCTCCTGTATGATCAGAGCTTATTAAGCAGCTGAATGCTTCATGATACAAAGGATGTGACGCCTCTTTTAGTCCTCATCCTGGTCTTTCTGTACCTGCACCCTGCGACTTCCTCCGTTGTTTCTGTGCTTGACACAAAAGGCGACACATGGCTACTTATAGACACCTGACCACATCGACTGCACAGCCACTGACCTTATATTGACTCAGGGGGTCGTCTCCACAGAGGAACTCCAGACAGTGGCTGACCCTCAGTACGTACTGACCCTGCCATGCCTCCTCCTCCGGCCCGTGGGTGGTCAGCCACTTCCTCACGGCCTGCTCCATCAGCTCAGTGGGGGTGCAGGATGATGGCACCATCACACTGGCTGAATCCTGACAGAAGACAGGAGAAAAACAAGAGACAGAGGGAGAGGGATTGACTCTAGTGTTTACTTTTAATCTAAGTGTACTTCTTGAAAAAGAATAGCAGAGCAGAGAAATGTTTTAAAATTAATACATTTTCTTATGTCGAAATTGGACAAAAAGATGCTGAAAAGCTGCAAGGAAAGAAACATCATGACATTGAATCAATGAGGCTTTAAAGCACAGAGGACTTGAATATTCCTGTTTATTCTGCACAGTGTGTGTAATAAAGCAGCAACCTCCCGTGTAGTAAAAATGAATCCGATGCTGAAGTGCAATATACTGCAGTTCCTCGAGTGTCCACTAGAGGCTTGCTGCAGATGCATAGGAAGTCACATACACACCCATTCTAAAACACCTGTTTTTACAGCAGAGATTAACATGTTTACAGCCTGGTTCACAAAACCAAATAGGTGTGATTAGCTCATGTCTCGATCGACACACACTGTACGGAGCTGAAGTTATGATGACTCTTCCGTTTTGATTTGATGAACGGTACAAGTTTGTGTGTAATGTCATTGCATATACCTGCACAACTGTACAGTTAATCTGTTTCACCTTTTTACATTTCATCTTATTTAAAGTCCCTTCACAGCAGGAGAACGGCGGTTTTACAGCTTCTAACTCTTTATAATAATTCTACGTTCATTGCCACAAACGACCAACTCAAATTCCTACTTGCCAATCAACCTGATTCTGATGAATACTGAAGATAGTGAAGAGGAATTTAAAGATAGAGACACATTATCGTTCCACCTCTAAAAAACAGATAAATTCATGCGATCACATGCACAGAGTCTGTTGTTTCTGCCTCTCATTGGTTGTCAAAGCTACACTGAGGCTAACTGCTTCCTGTTATTTATAGCACAGCATCGACCTTGTACCTGAGATGGAATCATCATTTCCTGGAGGTTTGGATGAATTGCTACAAATTAATAATTGACGACATCCAACAGATCCATTATGAGGGTCTTCAAAAACCAACAGTGCTGAGATCGACTGCAGTGACAACACATCTTTTTTTTGATCCTTAAGGCAGACACTTGACCCTAAAACCATTTCAAGTAGATTTTGTTCGGCATAAAAATAATCCCCCACTCCCCAGCAAGAAAACACGTAGTTAAATGAACAATTTAGGGGTGCTGGTGGTGCAGTGGTTGGTGTGCGCGCCTCATGTACAGAGGCTGTAGTCCTCCAGGTTCAAATCCCAACCGGCTCCTTTCCTGCATGTCATTCCCCCCTCTCTCTCTCTGATTTCCAACTCTATCCACTGTCCTATCTCTGCATTAAAGGCACAAAAAGGCCAAAAATAAATCTTTAAAATTTTTTTAAATGAACATTATAAACAAAAATGATCAAGGCGAGCTAAAGTGTCCGCTCATGAAGCCCCGACATTTTTAAAAACATTGGACGTTTCTGAAAGGCAAACTTTCAAACTATTCACATTCAATATGTCGGCACATTGAGTAGGAAGTACAATCCTAAATCATAGCATGCAATTTTATGTAGACTAGAAACTCCCAGGATGTTTACTAGATCGGACAGAAACCCAAGTCTGATACGGGTTCTTCAGATCCCTGTATACATTTAAAAAAATAATATCCTGGTTTATGATGACTGCATCTTGTTTGTGCAGGCGTCTGTGATGTTAATTTTTTACAACACAAACTGCAGAAACTTTGAAATGTGAGAAAAATCACACACCAACATAGCGTTGCAGATACAGCGAGTCCACCTAACTTCCAAATGTTTCCAGCAGTTTTACTGCAGATCTAAGACGCCGCCATGTTTGTTTTGCTGATAAGTCGCTTGGTTAAGGCCGTGCCTGTCAGAAATCGTGTTTACATGCCGCAGTATCCCATTTTCTGTTGTGTTTCTGAGTTCTCCTGGTAGGGCTTAAAGCACTGAGCGAGCGTACTGTAGACCTTGAAGTATAGGAGCGCAGTCTGAAAAGAACATCATCCTTTTCTGCTTATTTCCTGTAACAAAAATAATTTTATGAACATCTGTGATTGGCCCGTATTAGCTGATAATAGCAGCCGTCAGATATGCTGGTGGGGCTCTAATGGTCATAAACAATTTAGCACAGTAAACCACACCAGCACACTTCCTGTTTTATTGTGGCGTATTGTGTCTGACCCCTGAATAAGACTTCCTGTCTGTGTGCACCTGAGTGCAGAGGCACAGATGGCCTTGTCTGTGTGTGTGTGTGTGTGTGTGTGTGTGCGTCTGTGATGTTGATCAAAACTGATACACACAGAGAGGCCTGGACGGACGTGACCGTCTGCTTTATGGTTAAACAACGTTAAGTCTGTGACAGACGCAAAAACCGAAAGAGAGAGAGAGAGGAAGATGGATGGGAGGAGACAGAGTTCATAGAAGAAGAGGAATCATTTTAATCAGCGCCTCTGTCCCTGGAGCTGCCATGCTAATGTGTGTGTGTGTGTCCGGGAGGATGGCATAATTTCTCTGATGATTTTGACCCACTTAGTGTCGTCACATGACTTCCTTTTTGGCATCAGTCACGTGAGTTTTGTGGAGCTGCCAACTATGAGCAGAAAAAAGACTGTGAGCTGCTCCAGTCGACTTAAACAAAGTGGTTTTTATGTTGCTGTGAGGACGCACCGAGTCAGGCTGTTACTGTTCACGCTACACTTGATGAGTTTTGGCTAATGGGGTTAACGATTGATTTTTCTTTTCAATTAAATTACAAAAGTTATGACAGATTCAGAGAAGGACATGACTGCTCGGTCAGCGTAACGTTTGAACTTACAATGAGAATAACTGTCTTAACTGCCTGAAGCTTGATATATTTAATTGTTGATTTTGTTGGTTGGATGTTTCAAACACTGACGGCCCTGCAACAGAAAGAAATCAGTTTGACTGGTTTCTCTCGGTGCATGAAAGGCTTGAACTGCCCTCTTTAACCATGTGACATTTTATCCAGTTTGGACATGGTTCCTCTGATTTAAATGTAAATGGACACAAGCTTGTTGTAGAGACTGCCGAGTAGAGTCCATCAGTATTAACTCATCCGTTCATACCATAGACTGTAAATATCAATTGAATCAGTTGAAGCCTGAGTGATGTCACCCGTCTGTTCCTGCAGGGGGCGCTGGAGTCCCATCGATGGCGGTCTCCATGCTGGAAATGCTGTCTCAGTCTAACTTTTAGTCAACCTAAGGACAGGCTGAGAGCTACACCGCGCCCACCTGTCAATCATGTCAGCTACACAGCTAACTATGGATAACATGTGTCGTTTATCAAATCAAAACGTAGCCTTTAAAAAGATTCACCCCCCGTACAGTTTATGCCAGTGATGACAATAACTAATCAGACCTATTTAGCTTTTTATACCAGGTTGTAAACCTGTTTATTTATGCTGTAAAAACGGCTTTTTTGGCTGTTGTGTGTATGTGACTTCCTGTGTTCCTGTAGCCAGCCTCTAGTGGACACTCGAGGAACTGCAGTAGTTTGCACTTCTCTATTGGTTTCATTTTTCGAGACGGGAGATTTCCCCTTTATTAATACATATTCATAGGCCGCCGACAAAGCGAGAGGAACTTGGGGGGGACACACTGTACATGTTGCTGCAGGAGCTGGGGATCGAACCCCCGACCTTCCGGTTGAGAGACGACCGACTCAACCAACTGAGACACAGCCGCTGATTTAAGTGTTCAAATCAAGCATATTGATCCTGTTGGGGATCTTTGAGAGAAAAATTTGCCAGGCAGCAGTTTTTAGCATTTGAAGCTGTGTTCTTCAGACTCTCACCTGAGACTGGTCGAAGTGGATAATGACTTTCAGGTCGACCTGCCGCTCGTTGAGCCCGTCCGTGATGGCCGTCCCTGCCATGGGCTCTAGTTGTGGGGAGAAGCAGGCCTGCAGCCACTCCATACATGTCATCATCTGGACCCGCTGCATCCTCTCTTCACTTAAACGAAACATCTTACAGCGAAAGTCCTTCACCTCCTGGTCGTTCATGGCATCGAGTTCATGGAGTCCTGGAGGCAGAGAAAAGGATGTTGTTACATCACTGTTCTCAAGTGGAATATATATCATTTTAGGAAGACGTTAGATTTCAATGGAGCAGTGTGCAGACAGGACTGGACCATGTGACATCGCTGCCCTTCCCGTGCCTTTCCTTTTGCACCAGACACTAACCTAACATGTGCAACTTTATGAAATACTGAAGGGACCCTGTGAAAGGGTACAGCCTTGTTTTTGTTGCAGAGCAGAGTTACACACAGTGGACAGGATGAAGCCCGACTGCATGTAAACTAAACACGGCACCTTCCTGCAGGATTTGGCGGGCGTGAGGACGTGTTTATTGGATCTTGATTGATCAGAAAAAAGAGTCTTATTTCTCAGATTCACTGCTTTGTTCTCATTTTCATCTCTCACCCTCTACAGTTACTCTTCATGTCACTCCACCTGTTTCTCTCTCTCTCTCTCTTTTGCTCAGCAGCTACATATGATTGAAGATCAGTAGAATCAGAGATTAACATATGTACTGTTGCAGAGGTCTCTTATCCTTTATAGAGCTGGATTTGTTCTCTTTTCTTCAGAAGATATTCTTACAAGTCTGAATGTACCTGTTGTTGTTGTTGTTGTTGTTGATTTAATAACCGTGAACTCTGGGAAAATAAAAAAAGGATAAGCACCTGTGCATACTTGACGCCTCTGCTGGTCCTGAATGTGTAAAGAGGATTAGAACAGCAGTCTGAAGCAGATCCTCCAAACATTCACACTGCTGCTAAATGCCAGGGCTCTGAACTGTTCTTCAGGCGAATCAGACTTTATCTCTCTGCTCCCTGGTGAGCTTTTGTCTCCGGGTTTTTTATCACAGGGTTTCTGCACAATTCTCTCTTGGCAATAAAAACAACACGCTGACATTTAAAGCTATTGAACATTCATATGACCCTGAGCCGCAATCATAGAGGGACTCTGGACAACAATGGCTGCTTTGGGAAAGGAAATAAAAACATGGTTGTCTCCGCTGAGCTGGCTCTCAGGACGCGCTTCTTGTAAACAAAAATAGCCTAAAGCCATGTGTGTGTCTTCTTACGAGGTGATGACTTATGTCCAAAAGGTAACCGTGCTGAGAGACGGTTTGAGCTGGAGCATGTGAGTGTAGGCCACCGGGGGACTGGGGAGGGGGGATCGTACTTCAGCACGGTATGGCGAGCACCCTCCTCTATCTATGAAGAGGTCACCACAGAGGAGTAGACTTCTCTTCAGTACTGATCGATCCCCTCTGCTGCTCTGAAAGGCCTTATCTTCACTGGAGATAACACACAGTGACACGTGATGGGAGACATGTCAGGAACACGTCCCGTCCATCCCCACGCTCCTCTATCAGACAGCCGGGCCTCTGATCGGAGCCAGCTGCAGGCGGGGCCCCTCATGTCTGATGGCTCGGTGGATGTGCCGAGAAGGAGAGCTACTCATTGTACTGGAGGAGAAAGATTTACGGCGCCACTTACCAACTTGTAAGTGCTTTCCTTTATTGGGAGTGTCGAACAAGGACAGTAAACCAATCAATCAGGAAGAGAGTAATGTGTGTGAGAGCTTGCATGATAATCTGCTGTCTTATATTAGAGGGAAATAAAAGTTATGTTGCTTACCCTTGCCAATGAGCACGCCTATCTTGGAGTCCAGCAGGCGCTCTGCTCTGCCGCAGTTGCGCGTCACCAGCTTGAGGACCGGCAGGAAAGGGCGAACGTCGCACAGACGGCGGGTTTCGTCCTCCAGTTCTTCGTGCACGGCCGCCTGGTTGACACACTCGAACATGTGGCTTTCCATCTCTCCCAAAGCGGGAAACATGGGGAATGACTGAGCCTGCTTCCATAAGAGCTGGAAAGGAGAGGAGGAACAAATATGTGGTCACCACAGGGAGTGTTGTGTCCAGGAGATTTAATCATTCCTACATTCAGCGTGCACCCAGGATAGACAGCAGCGGTATTTTGGCAAACAGGAGATTTTAACAGGTGTTTGAAGAGTTAATTATTTAATTAATTTAATTATGCCATTTTAAGGCATCATATGAATGCAAACAGGAGCATCACTGTTCTTTCTGAGTCTGTAGAAATGTCTGCTGCAGTTTGTAAACACAACATTCAAACGTGGCCCCTCCTCCTGGGCTCATCACCACCAGAAGCCCCGCCCCCTGCAGGACATAGTGTGCATGTTTACTGCTTGTACCTACACTGCAAGCTAACGCACGCTAGCGCAAGCTAACCGCCGGTGTTTGTCACCTGCCTGTCCAACAGGAAGCAGAACAACTCCACGTCCACGGGTAAAAGACAACACAAGGTTCACCCTCATTTTAGAACCAGCTTTATCCACTTGGTGTTTCTCCTCACTGGGATTATATTTTCTCTTCTTTGCTGCTACGTCCACGTCTGTCTTATTCGCTGAATTGTATCCACTCCTAAACTCACCTGCTGGCTGGAGGAAACACACCAGCTCCGCCCAGAAACGTCCCCAGTCAACCAGAACAAAGCAGAACAGTAAAATCCAGTCAGAGGACAGAGTCTCTGCAGACACAGTCACCACCACACATGTACGGAGGCCCAGAAGGGACAATGGAGCAGCTTCACTTATAGGTCTGTATTTTATTTTGAAGGGAGGAACGTCTGACTCTACGTTTAACCAAGCCTTCAAACTAAAAGAAACACCAAACAATGACATAACTACCAACAAGTAGGTTTCACGGTCAGGAACAAACCTGACTCATGGCAACATGACAAATCTTTTTGGCGAGCTGATCAGGATGTGAATAATATGTTCACCGGCCGATCCCGTCATGATTCATGTCCCTGTGATGCCGCAGCATGAGCTTAGAGGGCTCTGTAGTGGCACACTGTAAACAGGACACTCTTGTCCCTCTTCACAAACACCCCCATCTCCAGGAACACTCGTGATTTCATGTTACGTTGATCCCATCTCATGTGCTCAGTGCATAAAGGATTTCATTTTTTGCTAGAAACCATCTATGTAATAACCTTATGTCTGAATAACCATGTGTCACATGGTCACTTTCATTTTGCACAAGTTTACAAGTCAGCTGTCTTCACAAACTACAAATAGAAACCTATTTCTAGAAACCTAGAAATAGAAATGATGAGTTCAGTTGGCCAAGAAATCAAAAATGTATGCTTTCTGGGAATTCTTAACTGGTTTATGGATGACTTTTTCATAAATCTGCCCTTCTCTGATTCTTGATAAGTCATACAAGAGTCTAGTATGAAGTTTCTGGAAGCTTTGTAAAGGTCAAACTTAAATCCCTTTAGGCGTCCCTCGCCTTTGTCCCCTCTTTCATTGACTACAGAAATCTCTATCTGCTTCTGCACATGCTTCCCTCAGGGAATGACGATCTTTCATGTGTGGATATAGATCCACTTCAAGTGTAAATGTAGTCCGATATACTCAAAGAACGCAGCAGTGAACTTCACCCGTTGTGCAGTTCCTCAAAAAATAAATGAACAAACCATACCTTCCTGGAGCTGCTTTCTCTGAAAGTCAAATGAAGCTCAAGCTGTTTTCACATATGCCAGTGTTCGGGAGATTTTCCAGACAGACTGACCTTGAAATCTTCCTGGGTTACTTATCCACATATTGTCCCTAATAGCGTAAAGTTCCCCCTGTTTTTACAGATGGGGGTCGTCTCAGGAGGCAAGAAAGGGCGTAAAAAAAGATGCTGCAGGAATCCAAGATTGTGGATGAATGCAAATCAATCAAGAAGCAGCTTCATGACGTGCATGGTGATCGCTCGATGGTAAAACTCAGATAAAAGATGCTGAGAATTTTCTTGAGCATTAACTGCTGCCTTCACACAATTAGCTCATCCCAACTTGAGATTAATTTGACTTTTTACCAGTGAGCTGGCACGGGAAAGTTAAGGTGAAAAATGTGTCAGGGTCGCTTCACACATGTCAGGAAATGTTTAGGTGTTTTGTGTACGTGTGTGATGACACCTTCAGATCGCTGCTTTGGCTCTGTTACAGGGCGGAGTGTGTGTCTAGAGAGCTACATGGATCCAAAAAAACATCTGCTGTGAGAAGTTCGTACACTGTATCCTGAAATATAAAAAATGTTATGAAATATAATCAAATCCAAGAATAAAAAAAACTTAATACAGACATTACAAATACTACTGTAGTAATCGGAATGTGTTTCGATTGGTCTAGCTCAGAATAACATTTGAAGCTGTTGTTGGTGTATTTGGTAGCTGTCCATTGGTTCTCTATAGTTATAGCCTAAATCACATCTTTTATATAAAAACAATGAGTTAATTTAAGCTACCGTTAAAGGTCACATCATCCCCATTCATAATCAGAAAAACTGAAGTGTGTTACGCTAAAACAAACCTTGTGTTGCTTTCTTTTGAAGTCTCTTTATTAACAAACAGAGGGATCCATCTGTAACCTCTGATCACCTCAGAATCAGAAGGTTGACACGCTACTCACAAACAAACAAAAAAACACCAGGCCACTAGTAACAGCCACGTCTGTGAAAACAGGCATTAGATCATGTCTGGCTGAGCAGCTGTGTGTGTGTGTGTGTGTGTGTGTGTGTGTATGTGTTATAGACTGGTGTGTTGACTGTTTTTCCACGTTAGGACAATAGGCATGTAAGGACAATAAGATAACGTCAGGGAACATAAACAGATACTTCGGTTAGTGTTGTTTTGGCGCCCCCTGTGGACAAAGTGGTTCCTCTTATCTCTTTGTCATTTTTGTCCCGGACATATGTCAGTCGTGTTTTTTTAAAGGTTTATTTTTATACCTTTATTGAAGAGACAGGACAGTGGATAGAGTCAGAAATCAGGGAAAGAGAGAGAATAGGGAACAACATGCAGGAAAGAAGCCACAGGTTGGACTTGAATCTGGGCCACACGCCTACAGGAGTACAACATCAGCACATGGGGTGCACCACTTGGCTATTGGCACCCTGTAATTTGTGATTTTTTTAACAAAATTTCCCTTTAGCAGTGACTGTGAATACTTTCAAGGCTAAAAAGAAGAAGGTTATGTTGGTGCAGTTCAGTTAATTTGCCTGCCCCTGATCAGAACAGGCTGTTTCTGTGTCTGTACCTTTAAATGTAAATGAGCTGTGTCTGACCATGCCACCTCGCTGAAAGGACTTGGTCGTCCCGGGCTTTCTCGCTCCATGTCCTATTGTTTACTGTGAGAAGGCAGACTCAGAGGGCAGAACAAACACCTGGCTGTGGGAGTGTCACCCACCTGGGGGAGGGGTTACTGCCCTTTGTGATGTCATGAAGGGAAACTATCCAAAGAGCCTGTTTGAGCACACATTTTCTGAAAAGTGAAGCAGGCTAAAGATGGAGAGGATGGACTTCTCTCATCATTGGGGGGTTTGCAGAAAGACTAAGGACACATATTGGTGTGAGAGAAACATGTTGAAGAGGATTTTGCATATGTGACCTCTCTTTACTTGTACATGTGCAGATACCGAGAAGAAAAAAAAGACTTCTAATGCAAGGTCTTTCAACCAAAGACTATAACTTGCTTTTTAAAACCGAAACCGATGCTTTCCGACGCACTCCCTGCCACTCACCAGTTTGATGTGCTGAATGGTGGCCTCTCGAGGAACGTCCATCTGGATGTAGATACCGGTGGGCAGCAGAAAGTCCACAGTGATCGTGTCCAGAGCGTGGCCGGCCAGGGGCGAGTGGCCCGCCCATATGTCCAGGAGGTCTGTCATGGCAGGAGGCATGGCAAGGGGCAACACACACCACCTCAACCATAAGGACCTGGAGGAGCAGAGGACAGAAACAAATACTACATATCAGACTGATTGAACATGTGTACTGTCTGCATGTTCACAAAAACAATCAAAGGGTTTTATTTCCCCCTCGCTTCAAAGGAACGTCAAAGGCCCCCTTCAGGTACAAACAAGGTACTACAGGAGTCATTCACCCTGTGCGCTAATCTTGAAGGTCAACAGACTTCATGATCAAACATGTCGTGCTGAAAACACTTTCCTGGAATGGTTGCAGCTCTGGGTTTTATTTTGTGTGTCAGTAAGTCATTCTTCAACGCTAACTCAGAAGTTCAGGCTAACTATAACCTAGTTTCAAATATTAAGATGCTAATGCTGCAAAATCATCAATATGTTATCGTGATAATGCATGTATCCTTCACTTATTTCCCTTTCCCTGCTTTCATTGATCCTCCAAATTAACATGAAGGTGACAGGGGCATGGTTCAGTGTCACTGCCGGTCTGTGGGGGCAGCACTGTGCTGAGTCCAGTGGGAGGCAGGACAATTTGACTTGGGTGAGGGCCAGTGCTCAGAGGAATGCCCACTAAGCAAACAGAACAAAAGGTCAGCCTGCAAACCCCCCTCCCTCCCTCCGTCACAACCCCCTCCCCCTTCTGACAAGCTGGTCGCTATGCAGGCAGAGAACACACACACCCTCTCTCACACACACACACACAAAGAAAACACTTACACTTCTGCATTAACCATCAGTAATGTAGACATAAGAGTGCACATAAATACATAAGCATCCTGTATACTGTCCCATAACACACACACACTTACACAAAAAAACAGAACACAGCGGCTGCTGCTGAGGTAATTATCAAGCAGGAGGGGGTCACCCTGCCACTGGACCTCTCTACATGTTTAAAACCACAGGCTGAGAGAGGCTATTTCCTCACAATCCAGAGCATTAGAGCTGCACGTTGAATTGTATTTTATTTCTTATTGTGAAAAAGAAAGAACATGTGCGATTAAAAACTCTTTACAAAAGACAGCTTGTAGTCCCAGAAATTAAAAATAAAAAACACTGACATTTTGCCATATATTCTCGCTCAGCGTGCAAGAACTTGACCAATCAAAAAGGAGCCCTGGCTATATCGGCCATGCATTCACAACATTTGGCTTATCAGTCGTTGGGTGCCCTTTAGGACTGAAATGTGTCAATTAGTGACTGCAGGGTTTAGTTAGGAGGAAAGAGAAGCTGGTGAAGGGTCATTGTTGAACTTGTGGTAGATTACTCAGCCCCTCTGCTATTTGGAATTAAGTTCCTCTTGTAAAGGTTTTGTAACACGTATCTTCATCAATTGGACATTGCAGCAGTGAGGGCATGTCATTCCAGTAAAATAAAAACAAATAAGGACATAAACATTTGCAGGAAAGCTGCAGTGAGTTCCAACGAACTGCGGTAAGTGGCTTTCCAGCCGCTGATGTAAAACCAGCCCATAGTTTGGTTTCCGTTTGGGCTCGTGCCTCGACCACAGCTGTACCGTCACACCACTTCCACCCGCCTTTTTCTCATTACCGAGGAGTCCTCAAGTGGCCCGGAACATTAACTCTTCCACTAGTCCACAGGTCCATCTCCATTTCATCTCCATGCTGCCATTAAAAACGACAGCCCTGATTGCCTCTAATGGTCTTTCCCCTGAAAGTTAAGTGCTTGAGCTCCGAGCGGGCTTCAGGACGCTGCAGTGTCTGCTGCGTGTTTGGAGCCACCATCTGGACCACTTAACATTATCAACCAGGCAATCTTCAGTGTGGGATTCTGTGTGCGGCTCAAACTGTATTCTTCTCTTTGAACATGTATTAAAGAGTAATTGGGCATATGTAGATGGAAGCCGTTTTCCTCTGAAGTGGAATCTTTAAATGCCGTTAAAATCGTACCACTGCCTCCGAGGTAGCCGTAAGAATAAAGGAAATCTGAAACATCATTATCACCACTTTAAGATTCATAAGGATCTGCAAAGAAAAGAAATAGTAAAAATAATCTGAAAACAAATCAGGCTATATTTTGGACAGAATATTGTACAGCCCCTCAGCCCCCGATCGCCCTAAACTCGGCTTCTCCAAAAACGCCTGAGTGCATCTTGGGGAAAGAACAGCTTGGAGCGCCTGTGCAGCGGGGCTACGTACCTGTGCTCTCACCAGGAAGAACGTTACACTCCTCTATTTCAGATGAACAGTACGTAGCCGTGGTAACAAAACAATGACACAACTGCAATTAGAAACAAACTCGTTTCAACGTGGGAAGTAAGCGATGTAATTATTAGTTTCAATGTTTTGATAACAGTTTGAAGCAGGTACAGTTAATCGACTCGAGCCTATAAAACATTTTTCTAGTCTTCTGACTACTCAAAGCGCTTTTACACTGCAGGTCACACCTACACATTCACACCCTGATGGTAGAGGCTGCTGGGTAAAGAGTCCATCAGAAGTAACTAATCCATTCATACACATTCATACACCGCCGGCAAAGCAGAAGGAGCAGCTTGAGGTTATGTGTCTTGCCCGAGTACACATCAGACATGTGGCTGCAGGAGCTGGGGATCAAACCCCTGACCTTCCGGTTGAGAGACGACTGAATCTGCCAACTGATCCACAGCCGCCCCGATGTAAGGATACACTCAAGTCCCGATAGGATATCAAGATTTTCTAACCCTCAGCAATAACTCAGTTTCTATGTCGTCTGTTGTTGTTCTACAAAATATCTGTGTTTGCATCATACATCTACAATTCAAAATAAATTAAATCTTCTAAATTGAGCTCGAGTCTCATCTGTCTGTATCTGAATAGTGAGAAAGCATGGTCAGTATAATCCAGTCCTCCATGGTAACAGGTAAAACAGTACGCATGCTTGTTTATAAAAAAAACCTCATCTTATTTATTTTGACAAATCCTGACTGTTTCCATGAGATAATTGCAAATGTTCAAACTGTGATAGCAGTGAAACTGAGAGTCTGTGCAGCCATACTAAACAGGAATTCTTCTGTTTCAATGACACACACTTCAGACAGCTTAAAACACAACACAGGAAGCCATTGAAATGAAGCGGCAGAGGGCAGAAAATGGCGAGTTTGGAGCGTCACGGAGGTGCACGGTTACACACATGAAAAGTAACTCGACACTCTGCGTGTCTGTGTGATGGTGAGTAGACGACGCTGGGTGCTCGGGGATGAATGTTCATGTTTATGCATACAAACACTCAGCTCATTAATGATGGGTTTCAAGAACGACCTTTTTTTCACAGCAGACGGCTTGAATAGCGTCTCATCTGTCTGGGACGCTGACACATCGCGCCTCTCTCTTTCTCTCTCTCTCTCTCACACACACACTGTACATACACAGGTGAGAGGGGTTATTGAGGATATGGTGGCAGACAGCCAGAGGTCTGCGAGGAGGTCAGGTTTCAGCGGCTGCATCAGACGAGAACAAGCGGGCTTGTGAGATGAGGGAAAAGTAGAGAGAGAGAGTTTCATGTGACAACAAACGGCGCAGCCCGAAGGGAACGAAGCAGTTAGCTCCAATATCAGATGTAAACCATGTTCCATCATGGGTCCTTCAGTCCACAGATTCACAGGCAGACTTTGAGGACTGTTTGTGTTTGACGGTGCAGAAATAGGATCCTGCTTACTTTTGCTTCACCCGCTTTCTTAGCAAACAAAGGCAGATTATCAATCGATCAATCTGTATTTGTGTAGCGTCATTTCAAAACAAACGTTATCTCAAGATGTCTTCACAAAAGACTTTACGCATTGTAATATGATCTACACAGAGCAAATGTTAATCCATCATGAGCACTTAGCAACATTTAGCAAAGTTACTGTGACCTCCTTTAAGAGGCAGAAATGTCGAACAGACTCATGATGAACAGAGACTGTGTGGGGCTTTAAAAATGGAAGATGCAGGAAGAGCACAGAGACAAACAGAGCAGCAACAACAATGGATAAGACAAATGTTTAACTACAATGTCAGTAATCAAGATAAAAGTGTGTGTGTAGCATTAGCAGTAACAACTTAGTGTGGTAATCATAGAGGTTGAAGTTGAGCCGCTGTTAGATTCTTTCTATTTATATATGAAGATATATATACATATATAGATATAAGAGATATATATGATGAAAGATGTAAGGCTGATATTATAGTTGAAGTAAGGGGGGGGGGTTCATAGCAGCAGGCCATCCCCCACCAAGGATCCAGAGGAACCAAGCAACAAAGAGCTCAGGAGCTCCCAGGTAAAGATGTGTATTTCCTCTCTAAATTAATCATTAATTGTATAGCGCCATTCACAACAAGTGTTATCTTGAGACGCTTTACAAAAGAGTAGGCTTTATGGAATAATATGCAGGAAGGACTAGTAGGAAGGTAACGATTCACTCAACTCACAATACGATTCACAATGCTGGGTTGACGATACCATTCTCTTACGATTTATTTTACAAAATGAGACAAATTATGACTGAAAAAGATTCCTTTAGGGGCTTATAACCCGCTTGTCAGTGTGGTTTGGCCTATTAATATTTGTTTTCTCTCAACAAGGGGAGGTGATTGGAGCTTCTCATTGTGGTGTTTATTGAATGCTGCATCATGTTGGTTGTTCCATTTGTGTAGTTCCCTGTCTTCTTGTAATATTCGCACACAGTTTTTTTCTTTTATTTCTTTTATTTCTCACCTCTTTCATTTTCTGTCTTGGGAAAGCCAAAATGCTTAGAATAAAAACATGTACTGTTGAATCCATAATAGGCCCACGTTGCCTCTTTGTGGATTAGGGTTCACATTTTGTGTCTGCAGGAGATTTGTGTGGGTCACAAATGTGCTCTTTCTTGTTTCCTTTTACAAAAACACAGCCGCCCTGGGATGCTTTAGCGTCTGGGACTGCTTTAGTCATAAGAACACTTCCACAGGTGGGTAAGAAGACGGAATTCAATCAGCTCAAACACACAGTTCACGTCCTCAGATAATCCAGGCAGAGCAGCGTGAATGGGAGGGGTCC